CCTACATGTGTGTGTTAGCATGATTTCTATTGTGTTCTTTATAATCATTTTCATTTTCCTTTTGTTCTTAGGTTCCAAAGGCCGAGCTGATGGAGGTAAACACAGCAGCGTTCAGGAGTCCATCATCATTTATTTTTCTGTACCAGAGTCAGTTGTTCCTTGCTATCAGAAATCATACAATTTCTGTTTGGAACTTTCGCGGGGAGCTTGTGACTGCATTTGACGATCACCAGTTGTGGCATGCAGGCTACAAAACAAATGACACACACATAATAATTGACCAGGATCTCATTATCTCTTACTGCAAGGCATATCCTGATGACCAACGGATGGAAGGCAAAGATGGTAATCATCTTTGTGCTTAGATTTTCATTGATTTCCGAATGAGTAATCATAACACCTTTTAATTTGTTAAAGTGATTTTATATCTTTATAATTTGCTTCATGGGGCAGCTGGATCCATTAATGTCAGCAATATCTTGGATGGGACATGTGTGGCTAAAATTGATGCAAGAAGTAGCAGCATCAAGGCTAAAGAGTGCAGCAGCAGTAGTTTCTGCGAGCATAGTCATTCATTCATAGTTAGTTCAGTTACAGAGGCTTTGGAGGACATCACTGCCCTCACTTATGATGAAGATAGAAATGAGATATATACGGGTAATAGATATGGTCTTGTTCATGTATGGTCAAACTCATGATTGCAACCCCTTTTGATGGTTCGATGAAATCCTAGCATTGTGACATAGTTGATGTGAAACGATTATCTACCACACTGCAGTTGAGGATTTCGTAGTTTCTATTTCATTCATCCAAACAAGAAACAAAATTTTTACACTCATCTCTGTTTTTTGAATCCATCCAAACAAAATTCTCAAAATAAATCCATACATTTTTTTTATTCTATGTATTTTCTATTTCTTCTTTTTCCCCCTTTATTCTTATTTCTTAAGCTTAATTGTATTTCTTTTGTCTCTTATGTCACAATCTCGCGGATTTTGACCCAAATAATTTGTTTTGTAAATTTTACCCTTCAATTTACAAAATGCCGCAAAGTTTGTCCCAGCATATTTAAACTACCATGATTAAAACATTTTTTAGACGTTTTTTTTTTCTTTAGATCACAATTAAGACAGATCACAATATTTTATAAATTAGGCATAGAATTTACAAAAATAAACTTAGAGACAATTTGTAAGATTGTGTAAAGGACAAAAAGAAAATGTAATTAAGTTTTTTGTTTTCTCTTATTCATTCCTAATATAATCAAAACATAAATGTCAGTGCCTTTCACAGCATAAATTTGAACAATAATTTGCTGCCGTGTAACAAATTAATCCATTTCATTAGACCCAAATTCCATTGATATATACATTGTCGTTAGGGGTGGGTAGACGGACTCGGGTCCGCGGACCGGTCCGTAAGTCCGCGGATTTCGCGGATAACGGACCCGTTTTTTTCAAATCCGTATGACTATGTCTAATTTTTTAGCCCAGCCCGTGAAGTCCGCGGACTTAGCGGATTTAATCCGCGGGCTCGCGGGCTAGTCCGCGGACTTCACTAATTAATATTTTTAAATATTATGATTTTAATATTAAGTTGTGTATTTAATTTTTTAAATTATTATGACATTAAAATTATGTTTAGTTGGTAGGTATTTGTCATTTGAATTACTTTTATGACATTTTGATGCTTTTATTATTGAAAGTTTGGTACTATTATTTAAGTATTTGTAATTATTTTTATTTTAGTATTTTAATATTTAGTATTTTAAACCATTTTAACTATTGATAAATTTTAGTATGATAAAATTTAGCTTATAAATAAAAAATATTTTTTTTCTTCTAATTTTATGTATTTTTATTTTTAAAAAATTTATTTTTTTAAACCATTATTTAGGCCCGCGGACCGGTCCGTTATCCGCGGATTTTAGCGGGCCGGATACGGACTTAAAAAATAAGTCCATTTATTTTACGGACCGGACTTATCCGGCCCGTATAAAACGCGGGTTTTACGGACCGGGCCTTAAACGGGCCGGACCGGTCCGTATACCCACCCCTAATTGTCGTATCTATCTATTTATAATATGAAAAATAAGCTATATGAAAAATAAGTTATTTTGTATTAACACGTTAATTTAAAATAATTTTAATATACTGTCATGTTAATAAAATTATTTATTTGTCATTTTGAATTATCTGTATATAATAATTATAAATCCTTTTTTTTAACTACAATGTCATTAATTTTAATAAATAATAAATGAATATTATTTATTATTTTCTATAACTGACATTTTAACCATCAACATTCCATTTCAGTTAATCTGCATAATAATATTCAATTTATTTTCATATTTTGCAAAGTTAAACATTGTCTCTTCTCTATTTATAATATGAAAGTCAAGCTACTTTGTATAATGTTAACACGTATGCTTAAAATATCTATAATATGTTATCATGTCAACAAAATTGTTTGTGTCATTCTGAATTACCTCTACATAATCACTATAAATCCCTCTCTTTTTACTTATTATGTCATTAATTTTAATAAATAATAAATAATAATTAAATATTATTTATTATTTTCTATAACTGACATTTTAACAATCAACATTCCATTTTAGTTAATCTGCATAATAATATTCAATTTGCTTGCATATTTTGCAATGTTAAACATTGTCTCTACCCAAATAGAGAAAATAATATTGTACATCTATCACAATTTGAATTTCAATTAATTATAATATTTATTCTCACATTATTGATATATATATATCATGTTAATTTAGAATAAATTGGATTCAAGATAATGAGAACGAATAAGTAATTTGATTTCTAAATTATTTAGTTTGTTATGAAGAACCATGTATAAAAAAAGATGATGCATTAAATTAGCAAATACGAATATATACATGTTATTGATTAATTTAACATGCACAATTTTTAATTGAAACCAAAAATTAAAGTTTCAAGTAGATTATGCTTAAAAATTATTTTATTATTTTATATTAAATAATTTATTATTTAATAATATCATCCATTTAGAAATAATTAAATTAAATTAATTAATTAATAGTCTTAAAAATTAAAATATAGAGGTGGATTTTGTACTAATATTATTCTCCATTATTTGGTCTCCGAATTAATATTTATTTTGTTGAATATATGAATCTGTCCTGTCCCTTTCTTTTAATACTAAAATTTTAAAAAAAATCTTATATCCTTTAAAGCTTATCTTAAAGAATCTCAATATTATTATTCACTAATTATTTTTTTAAAAAAATTCAAACAAGAAGCGTAAATCACAACAACCAATTTCTTCCTTGGATGAAGAGCCCATTGTAAGTACAAACAAACAACTATTTAAGAAGTCAAAAGATGGATCATCATCAAATAAAAAAGGCTCATTCAAAAAGAAAGATATCTATACAAATTGTTGACAATTCCTCAAATGAAGAGCTAATTCTAATTCAAAGTTTAAAGAAAAACAAACCAAAGAAAAAACAATTTAACAACCTAACACCAAAAAGAAAATTACCAAATATCCATATGAACAGTGACATGTATTCATTTTAATATTATTTTTGTTTCATTGGTGGTTTGTTATTTTATAATCAATTTTTGACTTTAATAATAAATTCTTATCTTTATCTACATTTACCTCAATTTCCCTCTTACAAAACTAATTTTATGTAATATTTATTTTTGTACATAATGTCAATACTTATTTTAATAATTTTTCTAATGTAGAAATGTGAACACAAATTTGTAATATAATTAATAAAAAATAATATATAACAATTTTCATATATTTATTTCATATCTTTATATTCTAAAATAATAGTAGTTATATTACAAAATTTTAATTTGCATATATTAAAATATTATATAAAAAATAAAAAATTTCAATAAATCGTACAACGCGCAGACCTATGTCTAGTGATAGATAAATAACCTAACATAATATTAAAATTTATAAAGCAAAGAAAAATAATTAACCTAAAAGGAAAGAATCCTCCTCCAAGGTTTCAACTTTTAACTTAATATAAAAACCTTAATGTAGAATAGAAAGAAAAAAAGAAAATATCTGAGACTAGAATTAAAAATTGAATTATAAAAACATGCGATCATAAACAAAGAAGAATAACAAGTAAGAGATGGTAAAATGAAAGAAAAAGAAAATTGAGAATCTATCACCTAATATGTTCTTGGGAAAACCAAGCTTTGAACATAATTCATAGCGTAGACCTGAAATATCTTGTTGGTAAGTTTACTATGTTTTACTGTATTATCTCTCCCATCATAAATAATTGCTTGAAGAGTTGTGGTGCTGCTAATCACGAGTAGACAACCATTCTCAAACATGCACAACGGTTGCACAAAAGACAAATACTTAGAAGTAATTTGGAGATCTTGACGTAAAGACAAGTTCAGTAATGGAGTCCAAGATTTTTGATTCCCAAACTCCTTCATTTGCCATATGCAAAATCTGTTTCTCTTGGAATTGACAAAAGAAAGACTCAAACAATCCTTCAAATGCAAAAGCCGAAAGTCGTGTCCTTCAAAAATGCGAGGCAGCAAAAATTGTGTGTACGTCTCATTCCCAAGATCAAGTGAAATCATAACCAGTTCACTGGATATATGATGTGTTGTGACTATCCAATTAAGAGTACCATTTAGGTATACTCCACAAGAATTTTGACTTCGATTTAAATCATCATAAGGAGGGAGACTTTGAATCTTTCTCCAGCAATTATTGTCACCTAGGTTGCAAACTTTGACCTCACTGAGTTTCTGTGAACCATGCATAGAATGCTCAAAGACAATTACAACCTTGTACGTATCACTTAGATTGTCATAGCCAAACCCAAACCATTTTATGAAGTCATATCTGTTTGGATTGATTGGAATTATATAATGTGGGACTTGAAATGTTTTTCTAATGGCAGGGTTCCATAAGAGAAACTTGTATGTGCGTGTGGAAGAGGTGTTAGACAAAGCGAACAAAAGGACCAACCCATTGCAGGAGCCAGCAACCTTGTACTTCTCTTCTTGCTTTAGGGCAATGTCAGAAAGAGGACCCTCTAATAAAGAACGAAGAGAGCAAGGAAGGGCAAAGTCATGTTTCGGAGTTCTGTAACGTATTAGGAAGTTGGTGTTGTTGGGTGATCTTTGAAGGTGCAGTTTCACGAAACTTGGATCTGAGATGAGGGATTTAAACGACTTGCTCACGCATCTGCATTGCATAAGAGATCTCACTGGAAGCCATGACAGAATTTCAACCATGAGTTCTTCACACAAGAATGACAGTGCCATGTTGATCTTGTGGTGAGATTTTGGATTTCAAAGGCAACAACACAACCACTTGTGCCAATCACTATTTTATAGCCAAAAGTTGACAAATCTTTACTGATATTTATCCAAAATAAAGCAGATAAAGACCGAATATTAGAGATTACTTTATCTTCGATTTGTTGTTTGTTATCACGATTTTTAATTGATTTATGTCAAAATTGTAGATAAAGGGCGAATGTTCTAAATTACTATTACTATATCACTTATTTGTTTTTTGTTATCATGATTTTAAATTGATTTACGCGTTTATATAATACATAGTAACAAGCTCTCGTCTAGGATATTAGATAGTAGATATAGTATTTTATCCTTTGTAATTTATAAGCTAAATATTTATTAGATTAAATTATATATTTTTATTTTTTTTATCTTTTATTTATTAAAATATTTATTTTAATCTTTTACTTTTTAGATTTAGATCAATTTAATCCTTTTAAAATAATAATTATTATTATTAATTTTATGATATAATTTTGAATTAAATTTTGACTAATTTAACATTTGTAACATTAAATTTAGTTATATGAAAACATAAAAATTCAATTGACGCTCGAATCTAAGATGATTATAAATTAGCATAATGAAAATCACATAAAAAATAAATCTCAAGGTAATTATAAAATAATTTGAAAGTATATATGTAACTTTTTTAATTTATCATTTTTTTACTTATTTTTATGCAATTTTTATTATGTTTGTGACTTTTTTTTGTTTAAATTTCAGTTATATTCAAAATTTCTCATATAAGTAAATTTAATGATCCAAATTTGAAGTCTTGAATAAATAAAATATGGATTCAAAATCTTGTCTTAAAATTGAAAATAATCTTGTTTTGAAAGAATCAAATCAACTCAAATTTAAGAAATTAAGAACCAAGATAAATATTTTAAAAAAATAAAGATTCAAAATGAATCTTAAAATTTTTTTTAGGAAAAAAGTATAATTTAACCTATTTATTATAGATTAGCGTAAAACAATTACTCCTTGCTTTTATACATTTTTTAAAGATTAAAAAAAGTTGTTTAAATTAATTCTACTTTGTTCAGCAACTATTAAGTAACTCATGCATATCCTCGGGTGAGATCATTATTAATTTATGTGTTATTTTTCTTAATATAATTTTTTTAGAGATTTATTTTTAATAAGTATTACAATTTTTATTGTAAAATTCATAACATTTATTATGAAAAATTGTTTTGCTTAAACAAACAAATAATAGTACCACTTTTTGATTTTCACTTTTTTTAAAAAATTATTTATTCTTTAATTTATTTATCTATATTTGTTTAAAATATTTTTATTTTTACATCTATTTATCATTATAGCCAAAGACTTTTTTAGTAAATGTATATTATCTTTTATAATAACTATTATTAAATAATTCTTTTTTTCATAAAATAAAATCACCATCGTTATCTTTTTAATAATTTCTGTTATTTTTCTTTTTTGAACAAATATATAGAAATAAAATATGCATATTTTCATCTTCTATATTGTACTATATATAAAGGATATATCAATTGAATAATTTATTTTTAGTTTTCACTTTTTTTACACCATTATACTTCTTATAATCATTTTATCTCTAATTTATACTTTTGATAGATATAATACTTCATATAGAAGGTAAATTTCAATTACAGTGTCAAATGAACTCTTAACATCTAACTTCTAAGCAACACATGTGAATTAAAGTTTACGTATTAAAATAATAAAAAATATTAAAATAACAAAAGAAAAATAAACAAAAAATAATAATTGACCTATATTTCCTATGCGTAGTTATTTTACACTAACACAAAAGAGAAACTTTCACTATATACTTTTAAAAATACGATAGTTGACAATTTTTTTTCTGTTAATATCTAAAGCTTTTATCATAAGTACTCTTTTTTTTTTTCTCATGCATATCCATTATATAACTAAATCAGAGACCATCTCACTAAATATTATCTCCTAGTTTTATGACAACCAATCTTGTATTATTCCCATAATACTTCAAATTGATATAAATTTTTTAACAATATTATTGAGCCACACGTCTAGTTTTATTTTATAATTAAAAATATTAGATATTTTCAAAGTATTAAGAATTTACTTGTAAGGGCTTCAAATGTTAATTTGATTGTCTATATTTTTGACTTGTTAATTGAATGTGAACTTTGATATTTCCTTTCATCATCTAAAATAATCTAAATTAATATAACTGATATATAAAAGCTCAAAATATATTTAGTGTTAATATCAAGTTTGCATTCAATTAACATATTTACTAAATACCTAGTTCAAAAATAAAACATAATAATTAATTTGATTAATGGTCTTGGTGGATGTCAAAATATATTTTTTGTTGTTGAAGTAAGTTTGGTTATGTACTATAAACTAGTTGTGAAATCTTCAAAGTATATTATTAAAAACTCTTGTGAAATATCAATGGAAACATAACCATCATTTAGTTCAAATATTTTTTTTTTACTTCCAATATCTAATATTGATTATGAAAATTGATTGAGTTTCAAAGCACTTATGCTCAGGGACGAATTTATTTGTATGAGAGTGGGGCAGTTGCCCCCACTAAAAATTTAACTTTTTTTTCTATTTATATATATTATTATTATTTTTATGATATATATAAATTATATTATTAATTTATTAAAAAAATTGTTAAGTAATGATACACATCTTATAGATACATGATATTTGCCACTAAAAACTATTTTTACAAATATTATAAATATAATATATGTTAATTTATTGTTAAAAGTGTAAATCTATATTACACTGATACTTTTTGTATGTAACTATATGTAATATTTCTTATAATGATTATTTTTTATATCATATATGTTAAAATATATTAATATTTCATTTATATTTTATCTTATTGTGTAATTTCTTTCACTTTATGATTAAACTATCTTAATTTTTATTGTTATTATAATTTATTTTTTAACTGAAAGATTTATTACTTCTTTAGTCATTAAAGGTGTCATAATTTTGTTTACAAATATAGGTTTTTTTAATTTTAATTTTAATTTTTAACCCTTTTGATCTTGTATATGTACATTGTGTATTGGTAGGTGATGATTCAAATTAAGAGGAATGAGAGTAATTATCACACAAAGTTTTATTTTATTTTTACTTAAACATATTTAATAAAAAATAAATTTACTCTTATAAAAAAAATAGGCGTCATTCTCATAAAATATTTTTATTTTAAATGAACATAGAAATTTAGAAGAGATAGAAAAGAAAATAAATAGTCATTATATTATCTTTATCTTAATAATTTATACTGTGACACCCTTACTACCCCAACACATATACTGTAACTTTACAAATAAATGTTTAAAATTCGGTAAAAAGGGTTCACATGAGAAAATTCAAAAATCGTTCTTCAATAACCACAATATTAAAGATTTAGAAAATGAAACACAAAAGTTTACAAATTATTTATAGTTGAGATGGCTAGTTAGTAGTTACTGATTCCATAATGGTTCTAATGACATTAAGAGCATGTTTGGATTAGCTTTTGAAACATGATTCTACATTCTTTCTCCACGTTAGGTATCAATTTTACGTAATAATAAGGGATTAGTTGGGTGGATTAGTTTATCATTTTAATTCAACCTGACAGTGGTAGAAGCACGTCTCACGATCCATGGCTGCCATAACCCAAAATTCCCATAATTAATAATAACCAGATGCATAGTTTTTATATTCAATGGACCATGCTGATTCGAGTTTGAATTGTTCCCAGCCATGGTTCCTACACCGAATCAAGCCACCTTTTAAAAATAACCAATTACAAAAATATTAATTTTATATTCTAACCTTTTATAACTATGAGGTGCAAATTAAGGATGAATATAGTTGTTGTGGAGGAAGTACAAATGCAAAAAAATAAAAATACAAAATCCATATGCTACTAATTTTAAACTTGCACGGATAGTTCTTCTAATTAAAAAATTTCTATTTATTAACATATCATCTAAATATTATAAATAGAAGAAAGATTAATTTCATTATATCTTTAATCAATTAAAATATTTTTTTAGTTTTTATAATTTTACTTATTTTATATTTTAGTTTTTATAATTTAAAATTAATTTTTTAATTTTTATATTTATATTTTTAAATATTTTTTCCATATAGTTGAAGACAAATATTTTTAGTTTCTATAAGTTTTTCAATTCTTTTAGTTCATGTCGTTAATTTTTTTTTTTTTTTTAACATTATATGTTTTAGCTTTCATCAATTCTTTTGTTGTTTTCATAAATGGTAACACCACACTTTTCCTCGAATATACCTATTTTTATGTTTCTATTTTTACAATACAGTGGGAACCGTGTATAGGATAAGTGAACTTATTTTTATGTGATGAAAGCTACTGTATTGGGATTGAATGAAGATGTTCTTCACCTATCCATTCCAGTGGCCATTGATGGCACCTTATCCAGTTGAATAAAAGCCTTCTGATCATAAAGAAGAAAAAAAAGTAATGTAAATGAACTATACCTACCTTGAGAGTTGAGATGGCTAGTTAGTAGTTACTGATTCCATAATGGTTCTAATGACATTAAGAGCATGTTTGGATTAGCTTTTGAAACATGATTCTACATTCTTTCTCCACGTTAGGTATCAATTTTACGTAGAAGCAAAAATTTTTTGCTTCAAGCAAACGTGAAAATTCACGTTAGAGTTAAAAACCAAACATGTACTAATTCGTTATGGATTTTGATCTTCTGCATATGAACATTGTCAGACACGCTTCATTCCCATTCGTTATCTATGATTTTTTTATTTCGACCAGATCCAAAACAGGCCGTTCCAATTTCGGAACAGGCTATTCTGGACCCTGTCTGAAGCCTATAAATAGATAGCTTGGGCACATTTCTGAGGGACCCCAAAAATTTCGTCCAAAGCTCCTTAGAGCTCGAAATTTCTCTCTTTTTCTCTCTCTTGTATTTCTTGAGATTTTGTGAGGCATTGTAGTGTGAAAGGTTGCCACAAAGCACCTATATTTTCCATATTTGAAGATCTAACAAAGTTTGCTATGAGGTATTTCATTTAATTTTCTTCTCTTTCTTTTACTTCTTATTTTTTTTCATCATAAACGCAATCATGTAGATATTTTAGGGTTAGTCGTATAATTTAATTTTTCAATATGTAAATAAATATTAATAAAGGGGATTTAATATTTAATTTATTAATTCTTATCACGTTAACTTCATCATAGGGTACCGATTGAGGGCGCTGTAGGGGTGCTTAATACCTTCCTTACACGTAACCGACCCCCGAACCCAATTCTGGTTATCAAGGCCATTATTGGATCTTCAAATGATGTTACAACAAAGAGATAGAGTGATAGCAGAGTTAAAGGTGAATTTGTTGAAGGCACAGCAGAAAATGAAGAAATATGCAGATCAGAAACGAATGCATAAGGAATTTCAGGTTGGTGATCTAGTTTTGGTGAAACTCCAGCCTTACCGACAACATTCACTAGCTTTACGAAAGAATCAGAAGCTAGGATTAAGATATTTTGGTCCCTTTCCAATTCAAGAGAGAATCGGTTCAGTGGCTTACAAATTACTGCTGCCAGATTATGCTAAACTACATCCTGTTTTCCACATTTCACAACTGAAGCAATTTAGAGGAGTTACTGATGTTGTTTATGTTCCATTACCATTAACAACTTCAGTGGAAGGGCCTGTAGTGCTTCCTTTCAAAATACTCAGTATAAGGGACATCATTCGAGCAGGCCAAACTGTGCATCAAATCCTGGTCCAGTGGGAAGGATTTAGTGAAGATGAAGCAACATGGGAAGATAGTGAGGAAATGGCTAAGAGTTATCCAAATCTCAACCTTGAGGACAAGGTTATTCATAAAGGGGGGAGTATTGTAACAGAAAGGGAAATCACTAGTGGCTTGGGACGCAAAGAAGTTGACATCATGGATGATCAAGGTCAGAAGGACAAGGAAGTAATTGAGCAATCAAGTGAAGGAAGAGCTGAGTGGAAAGAGAAATCAAGGAATGAGGAGCATGTGAATTCGGTTAGCTCACAAGGACAGGTGGCAGCAAATGATGGGTTGGGAAGTGAAATCAAGGCCAAACGTGTGAGTAGGCCTAGTGTGCGGATGAGGGATTTTGTGTGGCAGAGAAATTAGTTAAATGTCAGGATGGGGTAGGAGAGAAAGGTAGGCAATGTTAGAAGAGATATTCTCCTCTCTCTCTCTGTGTACTTTTCTTCATTGCTGATGTTATTGTACTGCATTTCCATTTTAATCAAGTTGAGTGATTCCCTGTGATCCCGTTTGATCTCATAGGAAGTGCACTCTCAACATTTAATCCTTGATTCCTTGTGTTCTTCTTAATTCAGCCATTATTACTTGTTATTTACATATTCAGCTTGTTACATTTGGTGCTTTCATAACCTCCACTATGACTGAACTAGCTCAAATCCTTGAGATTTTGGAAAAAAAAGATAGAGAACATGCTCGGGAAATTAACGATCTGAGAGATGATTTTGAAGAATTCAAAGCCAGTGTCCAGAGTGGAGGGTCATCCCTGATCATCCAGGAGTACCCTCGTCCCTGAAGCATTCGTGTGAGGGACCACAAACAAATCGTAATCACATTCATACAACATCTCATCTCATAACAATTACATATCACATATACAATTCCATATCACATACTCAACAAATAAGTCCAACAAAATAAGGGTTTACACACCCCTTAAGAAAATTCACATCTAGATCATCACTTCTTATCAAGTAATATAACATTCATAAATTAATATAATAATTAACGGAATTACCAATTTAATATAATTTCAATATAACAGTAAAATTCCCAATTGTTCCAAAGCCTAGCTCACAGACACTTTTCTACAGTTTCGTTCTCCCTCTCAGATCATCATTCTTACAAATTAAATATATATTTCTAATCCTCAACACATACAGAATCTAATGGGATCATCAATTTCTCATACAAAAATAATCCAATTTTTTCAAAACCTAACCTACATGCACTTTTCTATAATTTCGTTCTCTCTCCTAGAGCATCATTTTTACAAATTAATCATATATTATGGTCCTAAATACATACAGAATCACATAAGACCAATAATTCTCCAAACAGAAATAATTATAAAATTATTCATAATCCCCTTCTACCAAATTCCCTCATGTAACTTTGCATACAAATAATCTCCTTTTTCCCGTACCTGGATAGCAGTTGAACTAAAACAGGGATCTCTTGGTCTCCTCCTCTAAGTGCCCCTTGGTCTTCAGAGAGAAGAAGAGGTAAGGAAGAGAGAACAGAAGATAATAAGAAGAGAGAATGAGAGATGTGTGAAAATGACAGGTGAGGGCGCTATTTATAGGATTTCAGGCTCACCTACCGGAACGGCCCGTTCCAAAAGTGGAACGCCCGTTCTGGACCCTTCAAACCTACGCAAATTTCTCAACTGGAACGGCCTGTTCTAAAACCAGAACGGCCCGTTCTCAAACCCAGTAGAACGACCCGTTCTCCCTCCAGAACGGCCCGTTCTCCAAACCAGAACGGCTCGTTCTCCAATTGGAACGGCCCGTTCTCCCACTTCATTTTCTAAACATTTTCTTATTTCGGAACGGCCCGTTTCACTTTTAAAACGGCCCGTTCTGGGTAACGAATTGGGCCCTTGGCCCAGCGAAAAATTGGGCTGTTACATATACAATTTTGATCATCTAATATTAAATAAGTCACAAAAAATTATAAAGTCACACTTAAATATAATATCAGATATAAAAAAAGAAGAAGAAGAAGAAATTATTACTCTATTTATGAGAAAATTTTAATTTATAAAAAATAAGTATATTAAATTTTTTATCACAAAAAAATATTTTTCTAAAAAATTATTATATTTTTAATAAAAAAATATTATAAAATATTATATTTGCCCTTAACAAATTTTCTAGATCCGTCACTACTTATGCTCACTACAAAAAGTTGTTTTGTATTGACTCACATCCTATAATGACATAATGTTTGTTACTAAAAATTATTTTTACCTACAATATATGTTAGCATGTGTTAATAAATATTTTCCATAATCGTCAAAAGTGTTGGTATATATAGGTTGTAGTGACACATAATATATGTTGTTGAAACTCATTTAAAATTAACACTAAAATTGTGTATGGGTATATGCCAAATTAATTTATTTATGAATATAATGTTTCTATAATAATACTTTTTGTATGTCACTATATGTAACATTTTTTGTAATGGTTGTCTAAGTTACTTTGTAAACACATTTTTTTTTTGTAAATACCTGACAACAATCCTAAATATAAGAAACATTAAATTGTTGCATGAACAATATTATATCTAAATGAATTATCTTGGTATTGTTGATAAAATTGTCTAAAGTCTCCACTAAAGATAATGATCTTTCTTTCTTAAAATTAAAGTATTATCATGATCTACGGACATGATGTCTATTAAAATTTTATCAAATGACTCAAAATAAAATTTATCTATTATTAGAGTTGCCTCTCATAATATCAATTTTATTAATTTCAATAAATAAGCAAGTAATAACAAAGATGAAATAACAAAGATATAATAATATGAATCTTGAACTTTGAGTGTGTTGTCTCTCAGCTCTAAGTAATAACAAAGATGTAATGTTACTTGATACAATTGTTAGTACGATTTATTGTTGAGATGAAAACTCAAAAGCTAATGTTTTTCGTATGAATGTTTTCTCAATGCTTTTTTATAAAGAAATTTAATTTTTTGTATTAGATTTGATTAAATAATTGTTAATATATCATTTGGTTCACTACATTTTAAATTCAATTTTATTATCCTGTAGAATAATTATTACAATGTAAAATAATAGAAAGTCAAAATATTTATATATGTTATAAATTAATTGATTCATGAATACAACGTAAAAATGTTTTGTTATAAAAAAATTAATAGATAAAAATACAATAGTAGTAATAATAAAATAAATAATTATACAATATCATAATAATATAATATATATATATATAATATAATATTATGTTAAAAATAGCTATTATTTATTATTAAAATTTTATACTATTTTAATTATATTGGTGTATATTAAAATAATATATAATGAAAAGTGTAATATCTTATAAAGATGTAATAAATCAAAAGAATTATATTTAGTAAATTATTTATTCATATAATTTAAGGAATACAAAATCTTAATATAATATTGCACTATTGCAATTATAAATAATATAATAGTATAATAAATTATAAATATAGTATAACATACAAATATATATTGTATTGTAATAATAATATAAGAGTAGTAATTATAATAATAAAATAATAATATATGTGATATATATTATTTTATAATATCATATATCTCATCAATGAATACATAGTCATAAAACATATTTCCTATTTAGTGTAAGTGCTTATATTCCGTAACTAAATGATTCAATTAAATTTTAATTAGGATTCAATATTTAATACATGAAATTTTTTTATTTTTTTAAAATCTAATATAAAAAATGTTAGCTTCTCACATTTAATTTGTTATTTATAAAATAACATTCCTAGCAAATATTATTTTCTAAAGACAGTTTTTATATATATTTTTCACAAAAGTATTTTTATTTGTTGATGTGAAAAATTAACCTTTTCAAGATAAAAATAAAGTTTCAATGCAGTAAAAATGTCATATTATCTTTATTTGTTTATAGCTAAAACTCGTCAAGTATTATCTCCTTTTTATTTTTATTTTATCTTAGTAACTTTATTTTCTTGTGATTGAATTATCTTTTGTTGAACATGATTTTCAATTATTGTAATTATTTTTGTGATATCTTTGTGTAACCTTTTTCTTTTTTTTCATAAAAGCAAATATAAATATTATATTAGTAAATATTTTTATTTTATTAATAGGAATTACTTAATATTTATTTAATTATGCAAAATATTTTATAATATATTATATGATATTTTATTAAAGAATAGCATAATATTTTATTAAAAAGGGAAGATATTTGTAACTATGGTTAGTATGTTTTAACTAAATGGTTAAAAAGAGGTTAGTTTTTTTATTAAAAAAAACAAGAGTTTTTTTTATCAAACACTTTTTACACCTGTTTTCACGTGTGTGTTTTAGAGTTCGGAGAACAATAATAGTAAGGAAATCACCCTGAGCTGTGCACTCACCATCTAGAGCTTATCCAAATAAGAGAGGAGTGAGAAACCTCATTTTGGTGTGGATTTATATGTCGGGTAGTGAGGATGATCCACAATCTTGTGTATGTTGTGTGCCTTTGCATGAGGGGTTTCCCCTACTGTTTCTGTTATGTTCCTTATTCTTCTCACTCATAATTACTTGCATGAATTATTTGAATGGATGCTTAATTTCATGTTTCAGATAGAAAATTGTATGATTTGAGGGTTCCATGGGAAACCCTAAGGGGACTTGATGTGATCTTGAGTGAAGATATTGGTTGTACATGTAAATTGAATAATATGGATTGTTTATTGCTTGCTATAGAATGCTTTTATTGATTGTGTTGTATGTTTGGATAATTTGAAATGTGACTCGTAAAATTTGTTTTTCCTACATGTTGTTTTTGATACGTCATTGAGTGTCACTTGGGATGCGTCCGGCATTGTCGAGCCGAAAGCAAAGGTTGCTCTTGGGGTCTCTCATGCCGAGTGCAAAAGCTCTAGAAATTTCCTATGGTGCTTTCATTAGGTGTGAACTAATTCTAGTCGGACATGGTCATTCCAAAAAGCTCTCTATGGTGTTCTCATTAGGTGTGGACTTGGTCATGTTGGGCACGGTTCAAACAAAGACTAGTGTGGTCCTCTAGACAATTCACGTCGGGCGCGGGACATGTGTCATTGGGCGTTGTCCTGCCCACAAATTCTTGTTGTGCTGTTGTTGAATTTTATGTTGTGATCCTGTATTATGATGTTAATAGGATATGAATTAATATCAATAAATGAACATATGAATATGAATGAAGGGTAATGTGATTTGAGGAGAATGTTAAATGTAAGATCATGGAACCATGTGAATGTAATGCATATAATTTGTTTGACATATATCATATGCATAAAATGTTTTTAAAAAGGCATGATATAAAATACACCACTAAAAAAGATCTCTTGTATAAAAACTTGAAAACCAGTCTTAGAAATAGCTTGATATGGAAACCCGAGTCCTGTCCTTGTGAGTATATAATTAGTATATTCAACTTGCAATACCATACATCAAGATATATTTATTTAGAGATATACACTTTCTTATTTATCTATCTTTATCAGATTATAAATTTTCAAAATATACTAGCTTATGGAATCAACTCAAAACAAATTTGATTCTAATCATTCCACTTTCTTCATTCGTATCTTGCACAACTTTCCTTGTTGCCATTATACACCAGCGTATTTTAATAAATGTTATTTAATTAATTAACATGTATAATCATAAAACATGTAAATTGTATAAAATAAAATACACATGTAATCATACTCGGTTTTCAATGATGGCTGAAGCGTTGAACTATAGTTCAATTTTTCAATAGCAAAACAAAACATCATAACTAAAAAATCTAACTGAGCCAAAACATCACAAAACTGGAGAATTTAAAAAAGGTTTATGTAAATACTCAATATTCCATTGTGTCAAAATAACATCATAACAATAGAGGTCTCCATTATAGTGAAATCTACGCCAGTAGTATAGATATATGAGATATAAACTCCATACAATCTGCCCTTTTTTTTCTAACCCTCATGACATGTCCTCTATGAATTCCAGGACAAACTAATACAAGGAATATATATGTCTCATCTCCCTCATTTTCGGTGGTGATTTTACTATACAGAAACTAGAAGATCAAACCTCTAAAAAAGGCTAAAACTCAAACCAAAAAAGGCTTAGATAATACACTATTTAACTAACTGGTTTATATCTACACAAACTATGAAATCCACCACTGTAGAGTGCTACGTAATAGTTTCACATCAACTAATGTTATACATTACAATGCTGAAATTATCCGATCAGCAAAAGCAAAACCCAAACTTGGGATTCCTTGGACCATGGAGCCAGAAGAAACAGGAATCTCTTGTCATTAGTTAGACCATACATGAACAAGACCATGTCTGTTACCAGTATATATCTCATTCATATCTTCATCATAAAATAGGGCAGTGATGTCCTCCAAAGCCTCTGCAACTGAACTCCTTAATAGGGATGAATGACTTTGCTCACAGATGCTGCAACCACTACTGCTGCACTTTTCAGCCTTCATGCTGCTACTTCGTGCATCAATTTTAGCCACACATTTCCCATTCAAGATATTGCTGACATTAATGGATCCAGCTGCACCATGAAGCAAATTATAAAGATATAAAATCACTTTAACAAATTAAATGCTGTTATGATTACTCATTAGGAAATCAATGAAAACTCAAAGATGATTACCATTGCCTTCCATCCATTGGTCATCAGAATCTGGCTTGCAGTAAGAGATAATGAGATCCTGATCAATTGTTATGTATATGTTATTTGTATTGCAGTCTGTATGCCACAACTGGTGGTCCTCAAATGTAGTAACAAGCTCCCCACGGAAGTTCCAAACAGAAACCGTTCGATTTCTGAAAGTAAGGAACAACTGATTCTCGTACAGGAAGATAAATGCGGATGGAGTCGTGAACACCTTTCTGCTTACCTCCATCAGCTCAGCATTTCGAACCTAGGAACAAAAGGAATGACACAGTCATGAAAATAATTATAGAGGAAAAGACACAAGAAATCATGCAGAAACACACCCGTATAGGGAAGGGGTCTACTTGTTCAATATGTTAGTTTTACAGGCTTAACTCTTTAATTATTTCATTTGTCTTAAAATGCAAATTTTATAAATTTAACCGTCGAATATTGTGATATCATTCTTGATGATTATGTACTCAAATGTTAGATAAATTAAACATTCATATATTTACTTATATTTTCAAGAGTATATTATACGTAAAAAATAATTTTGATTGATAGAGTATTAAATAATTAAGTTATATAAAATTTTATAAACTTAGATATATTTAATGGAAACACTAAAACTAATAGTTAGATTAATGAAACTCAATGCATACAGCAATTTACTAAGAGTTTGTTTGCATATACGTTATAAGTGTTTCTGAGAGTTTCTCTATTGAAAAATATTCTTTATTTTCAATAAGAAAAACTCTTAAAAGCACCTTAAAGTCTGTATCCAACCAGGCTCTAATTAAGTAGAGTCAGACAAGACTTACTCCAAGAGTAAGTAGATCCCTTCACCCACACAACATTAAAGGATAAGGAGCAAAACCCACACATATACATGTTAAAATAAAAGGCAAAAAGAAGCTTACATCAAGAATCTGAAGGTTCTCATTTTCTTGCTTGACTAGAAGTTTTTCATTAAACTGCTCTATGAAGTCCACCTTCTTATTCCGGTGAAGTAGATGGTTGAATGCTTTGAGAACTGTGCCATCTTCAATGGATATAATCTTGAGGGGAATGTGACCACTGGTTCTATTGAAAATTAATAACATGATGCCAGGACTGTAACAAAATATCAAGTAATAAGAGATTCAACAACAACAAAAAAAAAAAAGATATAGGAAGATATCAAGTAATAAGAGATTTAACAAAAAAAAAGAGACTTATTTATTTATAAAAATTTAATATATTTAAGAATAGGTATAAATTATTTGATATCTTGTTGCAAATGAAATATTATCAACCCATAAAGAAATAATGGTACAAACTAAATTTTAAAATAAATTTATTAATTTGTTATATTGTTATCAATTCAAAAACCAACATTAATACTAAATAAAATTTAAAATAAAATGTTATATTGTTACAATGATATCAATCCAAAAACACAACCCATTATTAAGTAACAGAAAATTGTTCCAAGCAAGTGATTATCCAAAAACTAAATTTTATTATTATTATATTTTTTTTTATATATGACTGGGTTGAGCCACGTGTCAAAAACACAAAACTTGCGACCTGAACCGTACATTGACATGTTTTTGATCGGGTTAGGTCAGATATGACCCGAACAATAAAGAAAATCCGATCCAAACTCATGGATAAATTCGAGTTTGCAGGTTACTTACACCCCTAAATATGACAATACAACTATTTTAAAAATATATTAGACAATATGAGTAAAATGCATATAAAAATTAATAAAAACAAAACATAATATATATATATATATATATATATATTCTTTTGGACATTACTAAAAACAAATTATAAATTATAGTCATCATAAGTCATTTCCTATTGTCTACAAATAGGGATAGTATCAATCTTATTCCTTTCTAGAAATCAACCATAAAGAAGACAATTTCCATTTTTGGTTCATCAAGGAGAAATGTTTTTATGTTTTTATATTATAAATGCTTCTATGTGTCGTTCGAAGTTGTATAGGCTTTCATAATTTTCTTAAAGGCTTGGATTTGTATCGGTAAAATATCCAAAAGTATCAATATTAGATACAGGTATGTGAAGCAAATTAAAGTATCAATGCTTTCATAGTGACACATCCACTATAGAGAAATCCACCCATGACCAACAAAGCCAGTGCCTCAATTTCATTATGGATTTCATCTTTCATGTAATAAACATGTGCTGGTGGTGTGATGTAAAATATATCTAAATTCTAAAGGAAGAGATTAATGACAAAGACCAGAAACCAAAATGACTCAAGCATTTCAATTAGGGAAGTGAATCTGTAAATGTTATTGCTAAATTATGAACACCTCAACTGTCAGTCAAAACTTGAGGATCTGAAATTTTTGACAAGTGAATAAGATAACAGTAACTACGTAGCAAGGAGAATCATGCTCACGACTAGCCAGAATTAATTTAGAAAAGAAGGTTTTTGCAGACACAGGAACTTTGAAGGAGAAATACAACCTTTGAATAGAGAAAGTACCTGATCTTGATTTCATGAACATGCCTATCTGAAATCGAGTATAGCATGGTGTAGTTTTTAAGATCAAAGACCTTGTAAATACTGACACCATTGAATGAAAATGTGTTAGATAGAACAACCGATGAGCAGAGCAAACATTTACATAACAGTAGAAGTGGAACAGAAAGATAAGAGAATGAGGAAGTTACCTATCTTGTGCAGAGTAAGTCAGGACCTTTCCATTGACGTCATCAAACTCTACAAATCCAGGCCATTTCAAAGATTCAGATTGGAAAAGAGGAAATCCAGCTTCTGGTTTGCCCCTCTGTATGTATCTAAGAACAAAAACGTAGATCGTCTAAGCAAAATAAGCTTTACACATTAAAGAGGAGCATTTGAATGGACAGACATAGAATGCACGCACTCAATCTTTGTGGATCTGCATTTCAAAGAGCTGAAATTCTCAGAAGCATAAACAGATACTGTTATAAGTGAGTCGTTGTTCTTATTGTAGAAGAGGCTGCGGATGACCTCATCATGGCAGACATTCAAAAAGCAAATCCTTTCATTCGTTACTGCAAGGAACACACAAAAAGCCCAATATCATGCTTTCTATACAATAGAACAAATTGACAATGACTAACTAATGGGATGCGGTAACGGCAATTCATACAAAAAGAAGAATAAATTCATGTTTTGTGTACAAATACAACGAAAACTAATAAATCGACATGTTAAAAACAAAAATAAAAGGTCACGGTTTTTATATGAATATGTCAATGGTTAACAAATCAGTAGTGGACAATGGCAATTCATACATGAAAGAATCACAAGTTGTGGTTTTTCACAAACAAGACAATGATTAACAAATGGGCAATGGAAATTCATACAGGAAACAATCAAAAGTTGAGGCTTTTACCAAAACATGACAATCATACAAATGGGCAATAACTATTCATACATGAAAGAATCAAAAGTCGAGGCTCAAAAATGACAATCATTTACAAATGGGTAATATAGGCAATGACAATGCATATACTAAAGAATCAAAAGTTTTTATTTTCACACACACAAAAAAATGACAATGATTAACAAATGGGTAATGGGCAATGGCAATTCATACATAAAATAATCAGAAGTTGAGGTTTTCACACAAATATTACAAAGACTAACAAATGGGTAATAGGCAATAGCAATTCACAAATCAAACAATCAAAAGTTGAGGATTTTACACAAATATGACAACGATTAATAAGTGGGTAATAAGCAATGGAAAATTCACACCTAAAAAAATCATGGTTCCTAATGAAGACAAAGGAGACAAGACAGCGAATTGAAGGGCAAACCTCACCTCTACTAAAAGCTGCACACAAACCAGAATGGTAAAGGGCGAATACCACGTTTTTGGCAGCAACAATTTCGACAACTTTAGTTCGTTTCATCAAGAAGGGCAAAAGGGAAGAGCGAGCCTTGGAGGGATCATGAGTGTCATATTGATGCGTCAAGCGCATGGTGCGGAATCTGTGGGAAACAGTGGCAGAAGCAAAAGCACGATGAGGCTTCGAAGAAATCTCGCGGCTTTGAAGCTTCTTGATGACACTGATGTTGCTGCTTCTGCTGTTGGAGCCATTGTCGGAGACATTGCCATCACTACTCCCTCTTTTGCTTGCCACTACTCGTCGACCACACCAACCTCCACGCCTCTTTTCTTCCATTCTCACCACTTCAACAAAAACATCTTTGCTGTGGATCGTATTTCATAAAAATAGTTCTACACAAAAACAATATCATAGCAATAATTAAATACCTTCGGCTTGTAGTAAAACCAAATTTATTTCATTAGTCATAGTTGACCTTTTATTTTTATTTATCTCTTTCAAGATCTTTTTCTGTCTATCTTAATTTTCACTTATTGAATAAAATAAGTGTTTCCAAAACTTAATTAAAATCTTTCATAATATTCTGCGAAGAAGAAATATTGATTTAGTCACTTACCAGTAGAAGAAGAAAAGAATACTCAAAATTTTTATAGTGTATTCTAAGAATATCAATCATAAATTTTATCTGAAATTAGCTATAATATCTTTACCAATAATAACTTTTGATTACAGATACATGGGTTTAATTTATATGCAGAGATAGTATAAAATAATTTACATTGCTAATAAAAATAAGTTAGTTAGCATAAACTTTAAAAGATATTTATTATAAAAATAAAATACAATAAAATAATAGAATAAATAGTTATGAGTGGTCATTAGGAGAGAATCTGAAAAATTATGACTTTTTAAATATTAACGATTAAATGATTATTGATACATAAATTATTTATTCTAGGAAAATTCCTTCAACTTTTATATTAAGAATTATTACATTAATTATTCAATACATATGACTACGAAAATTCCGATACATTTTGGTACGTATGACTACAAAGATTTCAATACACTTTAATTATCTTTTATTTTTTTTGTGAATTTATACACTTTAATTATCTGATGTGTGTATCAATCAGTGGTTCCAACTTAAAAATGTTTACTTTTAAATAATTAAGATTTGTAATAAATAATTATTTGTAATATATAAATTTGATTGTAATTAAATTTGTATAAAAAAAATAAACATTTTTAGACATGCAATTGTTTATTTTGAATTTGATAAAATATTTAAATTCTGATACAATGTTATGTTTAACTACTCATAAGCTCTTTCTAAAAAATATTTAAAATTCAATTTATCAACAAAGACATGAAACCATAAATTAAAATAAATAATTAAGATAAAGTGGTTTGAAATGGTTGTTAAACAAACTTTTTGAGTTTATCGTGAGCTTAATTTAAAATTAAAATTAAGAAATATATTTTAAGAAAATAACATTAAATGATCAATATATGATATTAGGATGACATTCGACTCAGTTATAATAATTCCTAAAAATTCTCTTTGAAAAATTTCTAAAAATCATCAACCATTTTTTAAATATGTAATGAACATTTATCAGATATCAGAAGTTTCAAATACCAAAAAATTCTGATATATAAAGAAAGTATTTTTAAAAAAATTACTGTATCAGCAAATCAGAAGTAACTTTTAATAGATAACAATTAATAAACTTACAATATATAACAACTTGTTATTGAATAACGATATAAAAGTAAGAAAAATAAAAATTACTGTTAGTACCTGTATTATTTCATTATTATATGTTGATGACATCTGAACTCATCAAAAGCATTAGAAATCAAATCCACGTTATTTTTATTTAGGCATATTTCAGTTTGAGAGTATTTCGGATACAACTATGGCAACGTACATGAGCACCTCTGTTCCTTTGCAACTTATAACCTCTTTGAATTCTTTTTTTCTTTTTTAATCATATTAACTGTAAACTGGTACTATTTGATTAACGTATGAACGTAAATTTAAATTTTTTATGACTAATCAATCTTTTTTTCTAAAAAAATCATCAAAGACTAGTGTTATGGTGCAGCATGTTAAGAACGATTACGACTCCAGAGTACTACCGGGATTGGGAGAAAATAGCAAGTCCCATCTCACTTGCTGTTCTCTCGAGCAATTTTGACGTTATATTATTTGGTCCTCATGAATTGGATTATGAGCAAGGTGACATGTGTTCAGAATCAATCACATTGACAAATTCAGCAAGAGCTCCCATAGCCGCCGTCCCCCCTCTATGTAGTAGAGAAAGTGCCAGTTCAACTTCATTCCATCTGCTTAATCCACGCGCCAACTTCCTCAGAGTATCCACCTTCACTTCTTGAACCCAAGCTGGTGCAAGTCTAACCATTAATCCCACTAAACAGCAGACATAAGTTTTCCATGTAATAGGATTGCAACTGAGTGAAATTTTCTTCTCCATCACTTCTGCCAGGAACTCCAAATGGACCTCGATCGTACGATTCCTTCTACTGAATGTCCCTGGTGGTAACTTGGTCCCAACACCCCACATGATTGATCCGGACAATATCAACAGATATGCCATAGCATAACCCTCCAGTACATGCGACACAACACTGTCATTGTTTTGCTTCACATCCCTAGACGACAGCAGCCAGGTAGGAATAGTCTCCTTATACAGTTCCTGGACCAGTAGCATGCCACCTGCTGCACATAGAAGACTTGCACCAAGTGTTGCCACCTCTTTTGCACTTTGAGCGGCTAGGGATAGTGATGCTTCATTGGAATTAATACGGCGAGAGCCAGTACCCGTCCGTCTGCCAGCTAATTCATGAGAGTACTCTGTCACGAGACCCACGATTATATCGTTTACATACTGCACATTGTGTATATTTCGACATGATCTAAGAAAAAGGAATCCAGGGGCAACAAAAGGATAGAGACCAGGGGCAGTAATGGTGCTACCCAACAGACCATTCACACAACACTCAGCAGTTAGCTTTGAGGTTGAAACACACAAAGTTCCAAGGAATGAAGTGAAACAACTTCGCAATAGTTGAGCAACACACTCATTGTTATGTCTAAACACAGAACGGGAACCTGATACAACAATGAAGTTGTGCCAGCGGCGAACCTTTTGGGCCCACAGAGACCCAATTATAGGCATGCTAGGCCAAGGGCAACCTGATGCACAATTTTCCAAAGCTGCTCCAGTAATAGCATGCATGTACTCCAGGCTCTTGTCAAGTTTAAAAGTAATGGATAAACTGACTAGAGCTGCCATCGGTAGAGGAAGCATTATCGGTGAACCTCCTACCACACAAAAAAGATGTAACTCGTAATCAATACAAAAACAATAACTATCATTGGATTGTTTAATCTCAAGTATCCCTATTAATTATAAAAATAAAAATAAAAATATTAGAAAAAAAATTAAGTTTGCAGATTTATATCAGTAATGATAGTGATAAATTCATCCCCCTCAGGCGCACCAATTATATGGATGAAATGTGCTCTCACTTGGCATACCAAGTGTTTCTCAAGAGAATTCCACAAAATCCTTCATGTAATAAACTAAGTCTAAAACAAATAAATATTAGATACAAACTAAAGTTACCGACAGCATTTGAAGATGTACTCAGTCTTGCCAAACAATTCAAAACTAAAGAGCTCTCTAATCAAGAGAAGAAGCAACTACATAAAATATCCACCAGTCTCAACAAAGTCAATCAATAAATATAAAAGATTATAACCCTTTGATACTTTTAGGGCATGTTTGATAAAATTGAGAGGCTTACCGCTAAAAAATCATCACTGCATAGTTAAGGAAAATAGTAGTATTCATTAATAAATGAGACCATAAAACAAACTACTATGATGTAATAGTTAAAACAAGGAATTCAAAGCATTGAATGGCCCCTAATATGATGATTTGTTTTAATTTAATCATTTTTGGTTAGGCATTATCAAACACTACTAGATTATTTACATTGATGATAAATGACAAATTTCAGCATTGATGCGAGTCAAACATATTATAATTTTAAACAAGGATATTTGATCATCATCTATACAAGAAGGAATAAGAACAATTTCAGAAACAGAAAAACAAAGGATTGGCAGGTATATGAAAGGAAGAAAAAGAAGAGTAGGAAAGTAATTTCAATAAAAGATTATGGGATGAACCCAGTTGGAAAATTTTGTCATGCAAAGTAGTTATTTTGTGCATTTTGTAGGTAGAAAAAGTCATTGAAAGGACATAGCAGCTCTTCTGTTCCATCAAGAACTGTAATAATGATGTTTCAGGCTTTCAGGATTGATTTCTCTCTATCCACCAGTGTTGTCTGCGGCAAATAGCTTAGAGTATTGACAAATCATTTAATTGTAAATTTAAATCAAGTCAGATACATTACAGAGAGAAGCAAAACACAGATTAAATTATTGTGGTCATGGCAGCTATTTTTGGCAACATTGCAGGGCATGCATCTTGCATATTCCATCTATTTGTCCATGCATGTATCATATATGATGTTTTAGAAGGACTCTAGAAATTCATAAAAATCAGACAGGTATATTAGAATAATGAACATGATAAGTACCAGAAGAACAGTTTGGAACCTCAACACCAACATGAGTTAATATAGCTTTAATTTCTGATTCAATTGATTGAAGAACTGCTGCTGGACTGGGCCAATCTGTTCCATTCATTGGAACTAGTTTCCATACACCACGAGTAACTTCTGAAGAAAAGTAATCAATAATGGCAGCAAGTGACGCTGGAAGAAAATCAACAAGGTCTCTCAGACCTGAAAGTGAATCGCACATAAGAGTTATAGTTATTAAATGAAGGTAGCACCAGACATACATGTGCTTCTCTCCAGTAACTTTTTGCTGAGTCTCCAACAACCAACCATTTTCTAATTAATAGTTGCATTAAATGTTGATTAAAGTAAAGCATCAGTGATCCCCAATTACCCTAATTTGACGTGACCTCTTTTCATTTATATACATTACAATATTAAACTTAAAAACAATGGTGGCTTAATGAAACTAAACAGGAATTAGTACACTGGCTTTGACAATTCGGGCAAAATTTTAACATAACCGGAAAATAATATTGACAAAAAGGATTAGAACCAGCAAGAGCACTTAATTTTCATGATTTAATTATCGTCTATTACAAAAGACACAAGAAAGGTGAGACCAAATTGATGGATGAAAAAAACTTAATTGATAGAGGAGTAAAGCTAGCATCTAGCCAACCTGTTGTCAAGTCTCGCGATGAAAGCCTCCCATGAACGCAAGCAGTTAAAATTGATTCAAGGACAAAAGGAAGAGCTTCGAGTACTTCCCATGCAGGAAGCATTGGTCTTTGAAAAGCATCTTCACCAGAATTCATGAGGGAGCTACATGCATTACTGCTAGTTGGTGATGAAGAATTACTTGATGAAATTCCACCCTTGGTTATCTTCTGGTAAATCATGCTTAAAATCATATTAGCAGTTTGATGAATGGAATTTCCAGTAGAAATGCCAGAAAGGGCTGAAGCTACACCAGATTTGTATTGACAATACAAGGCCCGTAATTTTGGAAATGAATCAATATATACAGGTTTAACAGATGCAGACTCAGAGAGACTTGGATTGCTTTTCATCTTATCTTGGGAAAACATGACACGATTATTGTACAATGACAAAATATACTCCAAACCTCCAACTGAAACTCCTAATTCAGTGATGCACTGGTCAAGAGGGGGTCTACAGAATTTCCATAAACGAATAAGAAAAAGAAATGCTAAAGAAAAGACCATGTATATTGATGTTGAGGACTCATCGCCGATGCTATTTGAAGTTGGTTTAATTGAGCCAAATGCCTCACAAAGTGGCAATAAAGAAGCAGCAACTGTTGGGACCTACACAAAGAACTTCTGATAAAAATTCATGACATTAAAATGAGATTGCAAAAGAAATAAAATGAAGGTTGTACACTAATAGCTGATTAATGGTACATGAACAAGATAAACTATCTAAGGTTGCTTTAACTTGTTTAACCTAGCATATCCAAAAAAGGAATAAAAATAGACTCAAACTTTTCTGCTACTGTTAAGAAGCATTTAGGGAAGTGTCGACGCATTAATAGCCACAACATGTTTGTAATGCTCCAACCATATCCACATATAAATTAATGGGTAAGCAGCGAGGATAACACTGTTCATCCTACAGCCTTTCAATGTTGTCCATCTCTCTATAATTCTCTTTCACACCTTTTTATTTATAACACTACAATATTTCTCTTCAGGTTTAGTTCAGAAACCAAAATTAAAATTGAAGTCTAGAATTATAATCTCAATTATCAGAAGCACATAATTAATGTTCATACTTCATATTACACAAAGAATTGCAGGGGAAGTGGGATATAAGTGCATCACTCCAGTTGTAGCTGGGATATGCACTTTCAGCATATAGGTAAAGAATTGGAAGGATTTCATTAAATTGTTTTCCAACCTTGGAAGCCAGAATTTTTTTAATAAAAAAAATGGAATTTTCAAATTCTAAAAGGCATATCAAACATGAAATTTAGAATTTGATAGTACCATTCTGATTCCAAGGTTGAATTGGAGCCCAATTTCAAGCACCAAACAAGGCAACTGCCAAGTAAACCCAAAAGTTTTCCATCCTCATGAATTTGTGAGAAAGAATCTAAAAGGGTATCATATTCATACAGGATACAGCCATCAAATAAAATATATAAGTGATTCACTTACTACACCGTGTAAAGAAAGTATATGAACAATATCAATAGAAGAAGCGCCACGGAGGACAGCACTTAGCATGGGCATATTATCAACCAAAAGGCTCCAAGATCCAGAATGACTAGGAGATACTGGAGAAGCAAGAAGCTTAATCACATGGTGGACCACATGTTCCTGCCAAGGAGACAAAGCTTGATATCAGAAACAACAAGGGATACAACATTCAAGAATGCAATTCCAAGAACAGAGTATTCACACATTAATCCATAAGCCAGTACAACCAAAGCAAAGAACCATTATCTGAAGAGGGTAGTTCTAATGCAGGTTTTGTCACCAGTAATCACTGCAAAGAACAAAACATGACAGTTTTTTTTTAATTTTTTATTATTATTTAGAAGGAGAAACAGAAGTAGGTTCAAAATCAGTGTAACTCAAAATCCAGTTTCATGATTTCTTTAAGCATTTAGACCAAACCGCATGATTAAATTAAACTAAATGAATAATAAATTCAGATTTTCAATTAATGGTCAAAATTATTCAATACCCGTCTTCAGTGTCTTGTGTACCCTGTTCTTCAATTTTATTATTTTGACTTAGGTAAGGCCAACAATAAGAGAATACTTGAGCAAAAAATAAATGAGGTACAACAATTATGGTTGGAAACCAATGAACTTCCTAATAATTACATTACAATAATAATTGATTGCTTCAATTCCATGCCAATAGATCCAGTAGATTCCAAACCAGTCCATCATTATTGTATGCGTAAAAGATCCTAGCTGAGACGAAGACAATGTTATCATTGTTAAACTCCCAAATTGGATGAGTATATAGCCAAAAGACCCTTTATAATGACTTGAGTAATCCTCCCAACTTGAGCAAATCTTTAGGGTAGAGTTATGCCCAATCCTTTCTCAATTCTAATAATCATTTTATAACAAATCTGCAAACCTAAGTTAACAATTTTATCCTACTCCAGTAACAAGATTGGTAAACTTCACGATAAAAGCGGGAGTCAAACTAAATAATCTAAGGAATACACATCCAAGGAAAAGCCTAAAGTGCATCTAAGTAACTGTATGGCAGGAGGACTTGTGATGTCCAATATCTCTAGTAGGAATCAGATTTGTCACCTGAATATACCATCCGTGGCTGAGAGATGCACCACATAGAATCTTTGCAGCTGCTGGCCTTTCCACATCTGATCCATTTAATGCAATATAGTATAACTTCTCTATCTCAGTCAGGCTAGGGCAGAAGAAAAATTATGAAGATCAATCATCAGCAGTTTAGATAACACCAAAGGTGAATCAAATTTGACAGAAAAATAAACCTTGGGGCAGGGGTCACCGTAAGAGAATTTATAAGGGTATTGTTTAACGGTGTTCCTTCCATAAATATTGACCATGGAGATTTTTCTAGCGGTGACAAATCTGATAAAGACATGACAGATGTAGAGGCATAACCAGGCCAGAAGTACGCCGATGTATCCATTAAATTCCTAGCTATGCAAGCTTCCACTATGAGATGCCTCAAGTTCCCACCTGAAAGTTAATTAATTCAGAAGTATCATTGAGATTTGCAAAAAATTAATCATGAAGAAAGTTGTATGCATATGATTATAATCCTTATTCATTGTAAACAGGGCAGATGGAATCATGGAAGTAAAGATCTAGTCCCAAAAAATAAACCTGCTTTTGTATTGGCATTAGCATGAATTCCAGTGCCAGATTCACCCTTTCCTTTCATAGAATTATGAATGAAGCTTGCTGCTTTTCTAGCTGCCAGATTGGCTGCATCAATAACTAAAGCAGGAGGGCATAGGAGACCAGAAAAGTGCCCAAGGACCTGAACAGATGAAATCAGTCCAAGTTTCATAGAACCATCACTTTTCATTTCATGTCTGTATTCTGATTCTTTAGACATTTGAACAGAAGACGAATTATGTTCAGAATCATCCCTTAGAACATTTGCAATTGCCAAGGGGACAATAGATAAAAGAACAGATAGACGGGCCACAAGATGGGGGATAGGGCCTTCAGGAGGATCACGTTCCTGCAATAAACCATAAATGGGGAGAAGTTAAATATTTGGTTAATGCTTCAATGAAAACAAAAGATTATATGGATCAGTCTCAACTCGTTGCACAAGCCGAAGAGCTGAAAGCCAAAGGGCTAGAAAAGTTTCTTGCCAGCTAGCCTGGTTTAGTTTTTGAAGTGTCTTGATTCCTTCTGCAAATAGTTCATGAATATTAGGAAAGAACTGAAACCTCATAATTTTCTGAAAATAAAATGTTAACAAGTATTAAACAACTGCAGTGAGCCATAATAAGTCCGATGAAAAATCTCTTGAAAGATTTACCTGTAAGCACATCAATAGCTGACTTGGTAGGAATTTGTCTAGAATCCATAGCATTCTCCATATAAATATCAAAAGAAACCCAGCAAGGAGACTGACAAAATCTGTAGTTGTATCTTAACGATGTCTTGCATGATCCAACATCAACAAGCATCCTGACTAGCTGATGCTTACTTAGGCAGAAATCAAAACAAGAAACTCCACGGATGTTTGCAATCACTTTTGTTAGGACTTGGTTTACTAATTTTAACTCTGACGAGGCCAGCTCAAGGGATTCAAGATATTGAAGCCTCTGCTGGAGGCAATTGAATTTTTCAGGCCTATCATACATGATGAAAAACAAAAAGGGGAACATATTGTCAATTTCACAGCACAAATCCTAAAGAGCAAGTAAATATATGCATACAATAAAACTCATGCAAAATGCTGTTTAAATAAAATTATATTTTATACTTTAGGAACTAAAATTGGTTATCCTAACATGCTCTCAGTCAAGAAGAGACAGGATTACTAGGAATTACAGCATACGAATAGGCACTACTGAATAAAATCAAATTTCCCAAACCATTTGATAATGGTAACAATTTATGTTCCAACCAACATTTACCAGCAAACAAGGAAAGTAGGCCCTTTTAAAGGTATATTAGAACTTGAATGGAGAGTGAACAAGTTACTATGATTTTACTTGACAAGTCAATTGATGAATCTGAAAATATTTACCCATTAAAAAAATTCAGAAGGAAAATCCTGCAGGATATGAAGCATTTTGGATCCTTTATTATCTCTTCCTTGTTAGATGATCTCTTGATGGATCAGCTGAAAACAGTTTTGTTGGTTGAACTACTCCCAAAGTAGCATATTCCTCTAGAGGATATCATAGAATGGAGGAGAAATCAAATAAACAATGGTTTTTTGATCCTAGATAAACTTAAAATGCCAACTACCAGACCGACGTTGCCATCTTGATTTTCCATGGAAGCAGAAGGCTCCCACGTGATGGTGGCATTGACAACTAACAAGACCAGGAAATCACTTCTACAGATGCTTTCTCTAACTTATTGTTGCATGTTAAGAATCCCTCTCATCTTTTTGGTTAAGAAAAAACAGCACAATCAAACCAAAGTACGACATGCAGTAGACACATTGAACTAGAGATATCTTATAGTAGTAAAACAACAGAGAGCAAATTTATATCTACATTGTTTTATCAGGCAATAATGAGACTCAACAGTATCAATTTTTTGGAGCTCAATCAATGCATTAAGCTAATGGATTATTTCAGAATGTAAAGACACATCAAACTGACTAGAGATATCTTATCTTATAGTAGTAAAACAACAAACAGAGTGCAATTTTATTATCTACATTATTTTATCAGGCAATATTGCAACCGAACACTATCAATTTTTGGAGCTCAATCAACGAATTACGTTAACAGATTATATTTATTTCAGATTATAAAGATAAAACAAAATAGCAAGGATTGCGAGGCAAACATTGAGCAAAACTTTCAAGACAAAAACCATATGTAAAGTGGGAGACAATACATGTTCAAGAGAACAGACTGCAGCAGAATAGTAGCCTTTCTGCTTTCGGTTAGTCGTTCCAATACCTCTAAGGCGGTGAATGGATTCCGCTTCCTTATCTGTTCATGACATTCACTTTTCTTAAACCCCTGCGTCACGCCATGATCAATCTCCATACAATCCTCACCGCCACCATCAGTAGTAGCAGCAGCAACCAAACACGACCTTTCACTAAACGCGACCTGAAATCCCCAATCCATGAGCATGCAATCAATCAACGCCACAACAACCTCGTAGAAGAACAGCACAAACACGTGCCCTAGCTCCAGATCGCGTATCTTGTACGTCTCCGAAAGGCGAAGCGCGGCGTCGACGGAACTCGCTATCCTGCAAAACGAAAACGCGAATTAGGTTTAAGCAATGCGTGTGAGTGTGTGTGTGTGTGAGAGAGAGAGAGAGAGAGAGAGAGGTTAGGGTTTATTCACCTGAGGTTGGAGGAGAGCGAGGGCGTTGGGTGAAAGGAAAAGGCGTGGTGAGCGAGGAGAGGGAGGAAGAGGGCGTAAGCGTGGGGGTGCGCGTGGCGGTGAGGAATGACGTTGGAAGCGAGGAGTGAGAGGATTTGAAAAGGGAAGAGGAGACGAGAGGAGAGTGCGTGGTGCGTGAACTTCCACATCCAAGGGTGGTTGTTGTCGAAGCAGATTTGTGAGACTATGAGTTCCCCTAACTCGGGGCTGGGTAACGCAACCCCCAGTGAGTTCAAGTGCTCCACCAGCTCCGTCACCCATGCCGTTGGGGGCTTCGTGCTGCGTTGCTGCCACCACTTTAGCCTCTTCAGAACCCCTTCTTTCACTCCATCGTCCCACTCCAACTCCATGCTCTGTCAGTTACTAGTTAGTTGCTTCCTCCCATTTTCGCCGCATAAGATTAAACAAAACACAAAATACAACCCAGGAACAGTGAGTGAAGAGGAGTGTGGTCGTCTTACGTGTATGTAAAAAGGATACATAAATAAAGACTGTTAGGTTGGGATTGTGGCTGCCTACGCTTCTACTTGTATTCAGATTGATGGTTGTACTTGTAGGTCTCGCCCTTATTCACTTGCCAATCCCAAACCACACCAATCACTTGTCACTGTCACTAGGTCCATATTATTTCTTTATGCAACACTTACATTTGACCAAATTTTTTCATTATAAGGATAAGCAACCAAGAATTTGAATTTACTATTCAAAATTTCATCTTTGACTTTTACTTAACTAGTAGTAACTTTCTGAACCAGCAAATAACTATCAGCATTTCTAATGGGATTACTTATAAGCAATTTTGTGTGTCATATCACTGTGAAATTAGCTCTGACCTATTTTATGAGTTGTTTAAATTTTAGTAAAGTTGCTTCTATAAGTAACTCTGCTAAAATTTAAACAACTCATAAAGTAGGTTAGAGCTAATTTGACAGTAATGTGATACACGAGATTGCTTATAAGTACAAGCAACTTTGCTAAAATTTAAACAATCTATAAAATGGGACAGAACTGATTTGACAATGATGTGGCACAGAGCAACCCCATTGCAGATGCTCCAAGAGTCTTATTGCACCCCTTGGTGATAAAATCAACTGCTAAGGCCGTTATCTACCAGTCTTCCCATTAATTATTTTAACTATAGCCAAGACACCCTAAAAAAAAAACAAAACTATAGTCAAGACAGGTGCATTAATTTCAGTCATCACTTGAGGCGGGTGGATCACTGTATGCTGAAACAATAACTTATTTCTATTATGTCATAGGGAATCGAGTTACATCAAAACATAATTCTCAATCTGGTTTCAAAATAGAGGAACGTGAGACATTACTTCTCAGGCAATGGATAGTGCAACCATTGAAAAAATCAACTCCATAAATTCCCCTAGTAAAGAGTCACCTTAGCTAATTTTGTTTGTTTTGTTTAATGATTATGTTATTGATATGAAATATATTGATTTTGTTAATAATTATTTTTTATTAAAGAAAATGCTGATATTAAGATTGCTTATAAGTTACTTTAGTCATTAAAATTGGAAATTATTGTTACATTGGTCTCTAAAATTAAGAAAAAAAGTTAAATAAGTTCCTAAATTTAACTAGTATATGATATTTTAGTTCCTAAACATATATTCATATTATCACTTTAATCAATATATTTTTTTAAAAAAATTAACTAATGTGGCTATTTGCACTTTAAGAGACTAGTTTGACATTTTCTTAATTTCAAAGATTAATATGATGATATCTTTCAAATTCAATGACTTAAGCAATTGTTTATTCATTTGTTTACTTTCATCACTTTATTTTCATTTTCAAATAAAATAAAAAAATAAGAAAGAAATTACGTTAGTTAGATATTTTGATGTTCAATTTCAGAAGATGAATTCATTATTTTTGAAAATACTAAAATAAAAGAAAAGTCCTTTCTTAGCAATTTTGATATTTTTGTAACTTTTTTAATTTCAAGGTACTTTTCTCTTTCTTCGGAACTCATAGTTGCATTCCATTGATTCCAATAGCCAAATCTTGCACTCCATGGGACCAAAAGGTTCTCTCAAAGACCATGCATTCCTTACTACCTCTTCAAAACTTATCTCACTGTTAAAGAAATTTTAAAATAGTCTTTGATCAACATAATATAAAATGATTAGTAAGAAGAATGTTTAATAACATGGTGTAGTGTAAGCATTGTGGCAACTAGGCTGGGTCCAATTGAATTAAGTGGTGGAAACTCTTATGGAAAGAGATTCATCAACAATCCTATATTGCAAGATAGGAGGAAGAAGACATTCGTTAAATAAATTCAAATCACATAACAGAAATCATTCTGGAGACCAGAAAATGAAAACAAAACAATGGGACAAAATAAACTTATATTTTCTGAATCATGAAATTTAAACATGAAAATTATTTTTAAAAAATAAAAATAAAAAATATTTTCTTAAATCAAACAACACCTTATTTTTTATTAAAAAAGGAAATGATTATTAAAAACAGTTAATTAAAGTAGTTTTTGAAAACAAGTTACATAATTTATTTTCTTTCACCCTCTCATACAAAAGTATTCAAAGCCGAATAGTTCATTTCAATTAGTCAATAAAAAAACATATGGACGAAACTTCAATTAATTAAAGTAGCTTTTGATACGGCCATGAACACCAACTTTGTTTTTCTTTCCATTTCTTTAATGTGATTATAATTGTTCTGATTCACCGGTTTTCAACATAACTAAGCTAGACGATTGTTAGGGTGGACAAATTCAAGGACTAGAAAGTGAATATAGGGGTATTGTGGCCACCATTTTTGTTCATCACAATGTGGCTGCTGTTCCTTTCGCCGCAACACACAAATATGAAGGAGTTGAAATTTTGGCCATTGGTTCCTGCTCCCTCTAATAAATTCAAGGACAAAATGGATATTTCATTTTTTTATATATAACATAATTCTCAAATTTTCAAAAAATATATTGAAAGTAACATGTATCTAATCTCAACCACTAATTTATATATTTATATCCAACAGTTTAAACATTAGTATTTATGGGTGAATCATATTAAATTATAATCATATTTTCATAGTTCACTATTGAACCACATGCTTTATGGGCTGACTGTAGAAATTGCCACAAGACTAACATGCAAAATGAAGGAGATAATAATGCACAATTATACATGTTAGGAAATACTCTCTCTTATTCTTTCATAAACGTTTTGATACTATTTTTTTTTTTAATTCTCATTGTCACTTTTCTAAAATCAATGATTTATTAATTTTTATCTTTAATAATTAATCTGCATTTTTTGAATAATGTGTTTATTTATTTTCAGTGTACTTATTTGTTCTCCAACTACCTAAGTGCGACATATTTCCAACGTATAGGAGTACCTATTTGTTCCCTTCTATCTCTTTTTATTTTGATGCTCAGCTCCTATTCTTCTTATCTTCTTCCTTTTTTAAGATTGAAATATAAAAAATTTAAAAAAAAAATGGACAGCTATTTAAACATTCTGAAGGTAGTAAAAAGTCTTGATGGATTCAAAAAGAGTAAAAGACTCTATGAAACGAGTCCAAGACTCTTTAATTTTAGAAAGGGTAAAAGACTCCATGGATGGCACTGAAAAATCTGTAAATTTAGAACTGGTAGAAGACTTCATGAAAAGGGTTCAAGACTCTCCATATTTGGAAAGGGTAAAAGACTCACTTGATTCAGTATTAGTTAAAGATGATGAGGCAATATCATTCATTCATAATTTTTTTTTCTTTCCACAATATTCATTCAGGAATTAGGATACCCAAAAGACACAATTTACTTAGAAGTGTGATTAAATGGAGTAGGTTACAGTTCACATGTGCATTCCAACAATTAATGCATTAATTCATGGACTTCTCAAAAAGCGCATAACAACAATAAGTGTACACAAGTCAACAATCTCAAGGCTTGAATACAAAAAATAAAAAATAAAGGGTATAACAAGAAAGTAAGTAATAAATACTTTTAAAAACTAAAATATCAATCATTTTCTTAATTCTCGTGCATAAACCTTAAATGTCAAACAAAAAAAATGAAAGAGGTATTATTAAAAAAAGATTGAAAGAGAGTATTGTTTCGTTGTATTGGCCACTATCCTAAAAGTAAATTTTAGTGGACCTTCAATACAATCCAAAGTTCAATATGTTCTCCAAGATTTACATAGCATGTATTTAAATTTGGGTGAATTCTCTGAAGGACCAGTAATGCAAGTGGTGTATCTATGCACCATGAAAATTAACCGTAGATATAATAGTAAAATAATAAACTGTTAAGATATTTAATCAGTAAATTTTTTATGACTAAGATTTTGAAATTGCAGACTAGTCCTTTTATTTTTTTAATTTTGAAATTGCTCCTTCTCACCTCCCTCTTCTTCCTCTTCCTGGGCTTTGCTGCCTTCCTCCTCCTCCACCTCTTCCTCCTCGGCGGCACCTTCCACCTCCTGCGCTCCTGCCCCTCCTCCGCCCCCAATTCCTCCACCGCCTCCCCCCTCGCAAAATCAACAAGTTCCCTCGTTTCCGTCTCGCCAAGGGATCCCTTGGATGTGGCAAAAATGTGGTCCGTTGATTTTGAGCGGGAAGGGATCCCTTGACGAGACAGAAACGGGGGAGCTTGTTGATTTCGCGAGGGGGGAAGGCAGTGGAGGAATTGGGGGCGGCGGAGGGACAAGAGCGGAGGCAGTGGAAGGCACCGCCAAGGAGGAAGAGGTGGAGGAGGAGGAAGGCAGCGAAGCCCAAGAAGAGGGAGGTGAGAAGGAGCAATTTCAAAATTTGAAAAAAAAAGGACTTGTCAGCAATTTCAAAATCTTAATCATAAAAAATTTACTGATTAAATATCTCGACTATTTATTATTTTATTAATATATCTATGGTCAATTTTCATGGTACATAAATACATTACTTGCATTACCGGCCCTTCAAAGAATTCACCTTAAATTTGTGCTTTCAAGAGTAAAATAAGTTATTGCTTTCCAGATTAAAATAAGTTTTCACATCTAAAGGAACACACAAAAAAATGTTCATTATATATTATGTTAATAGTTTAATAATAATAATGTAATATGATAACTTTTAGAGTGGAAACGTCAAAGGAAAATCTTTAATCATACTATAATAAACAAATGAAGAAAATTTCCTTTTTCTCTAGTAATAGGAATTTCGCTGACAAATTTATTTTGTAGACAACTAATTATTTAATTTAGATTAAAAAGATGCCTCTACCTTACCCAAAATTTTATCTCTTTTATACATAAAAACATTTTCAATAAAGGTTTGTGTGGTTTCTTTTTCCCTGGTTCCCTGGTGGTTGGTCCAGTCCTACAAAGTAGGAATGTAGAAAAACATGTTTTAATCCTAAGTACACTTTCTTCCCGAGGCATAGAGTAGAATAGAAAAACAACATGTAGAAAAACAACCCTCCAACTCAAATGCTCTTTTGGGTCTTCAAAAAAAAAGAAACAACATTCTTTATTTATTTATTTTTTTTATCTGTTATTAAATTTCTTGTTTCATACTAGCCAGTGGCCAATAATAGCCTTATGGCAAACCGAACATATGAAGGTGCGTTAAGGATTGCAAATTTGTCTTCAAATCTTGCAATTTCAGTTGGATTGCATTTTGGGGTATTTCAACATTTTGTGAGGACCCCGTCCTCGTCCAATTTATGCTTCAATTTGCAGGTACTCATATATCTTGTATTCTTATAAGGTTACTTCACGTTAGACATATTAATTGTTACAATGCCATATCGATTTCGTCTTTCTTTGGTTTAGATTTTGTATTAATTTTCCATGAACGTGATTCTGTTAAGCAAGCTAAATAATACATTGATTTTGAATTTGGTCAAGCAATTTGTTGCATTGCATGTGATCATGTCTGGAATATACATTAAGATTTTGTTTCTCTATGCATCATACATATCACACATTTCTGTGTGTGCCGTGAATTGTGGACACGGAATGAATTATGAGAGGCAAGAAAAGGAATAGTAACATAACGTGTTGGAGGCTATGATGTTTCATGTTACTGCATCATATGTGTTTGAATCAATGTGGGGACTAGTCCCATTTAATTTTGTTTTATTAGAGGAAAAAGTGAAAGCACCATTTTCAGATGCATGGTCATGATTGATTAATTGGAAAAGGTAGGTATATTTCCTCTTCACAAAACTTTGACAAATTCAAATCCTTTCCTAGTATTGATTGGTTAGTTGTGATATCCCTGAAGCTTAAACAAACCATGATTTTGTTTTTTCCTTTTCACCAATCACCTCTTTTTTCTTTTTTTTTCTGATCCACAAGCAATCTAAGATTTGTTTCTATCTAGCCAAAATAACTAAATAAGTTGGGATTTCATTCTCTTTTTTATGCTTTTATTTGTGTGCATACTGCATAGACACTCAAACACAGATGTAGACCTCTGTCCTGAAATATGTTGTTTAATATGTAAAAACTAAGGGTTATACTGTTATACTGAACCTAATATACTGTATAATGTTTACTTTCAAATACAGTTGGACGGGGATAAAAGTTGTCAAGAGGTGCTTTTGACAGCTAACTTCCTCACAAAACATTTCCTGTCCAGGTAAGCAGATGCTCAACAAACCAAAACTCTTCATTTTTGGTGAACTATTATACTGTATTTAATCATTACAATGAGCTTGAATTACCTAAATTTGCTTTCTGATACATCTAATTGTTCACTATCATATCACATTATTGACAGGTTTGGTATGATAATATTAACATAGATAATGTAAAATTCCAATATCATTTCTTTTTAGTTCAATAAGATTATAAATTTTCATTTGAGTTGTTGTAATAGCAGTTTGATATACCATGAACCACGCTATATTTTTTAATTTTAACCGGAACTTAATAGACAAGCACAAGGGAAATAGAGCAAGCAAAAAGATAAAAGAAGAAACAAGGACTTTGACAGATTCTTCTTAAACCAGGAAAACAAGCAAAGTGACAAAAAGGATAGGTCAAAAAAACAAAATGTTGAGTCTCCGAAGAAATCAAATTCTCGCTCAATAGTTTTATCTTGGACATCTTCACCGAATCACAAAAGAAATATATCATGAAACCTTATATGTTGTAATTTCAAAATATACATTACATTATTTACATATACCTCTAGGATAATTAATGGACAATAAGAGAGTAGATTCTTGAAAGTTAAAGTTAGAACTTGCTTTATACTTCTCCAAAAAGGATTGGAAAATTTTAAATTTGTTGTACAAGTATCATTGCTCTTCCTAAGTGATGATACACATAATAATTCATACAACATCGTTTTTTTTGTAGTTATCTCTACTCTCTCTATCATATTATTTATTATATTTCAAACTTTTCTTTCCTTTAGTTGGACAAATATCATTTTTCTTCTTCTTAAAATATATCATATATGATAAGGACCAAGAAGCCTTATTCTCTCTTTCAAAGAAACCAAGAATGTGAATATTAAAAATGAAACTTTTGGTGAACATGCTTAATGTTCAGTTATTATTCTGAATATGAGTTTACATATCTCATTGATATGCACTTGCTTCAGCTACAATTCATATCTCATTTGCATGATGATGCAGATCCAGGGTATAAGAAGGAAAACTCAAAATGGAAAAAGGATCTGCTTGCAAAAGATGCATAACGTGCCTGTTGATAACATTTAGCATAGTGATCGCAATTGTGTTGGTAGCAGTGATATTAACATTGACAGTGTTCAAACCAAAACAACCTGTGACCTCGGTGGATGCCATAACGATTCAGGACATGAGCACAGGCATGGACTTGTTTAAAATGAGGATAGATCTGAACGTGACACTGGAAGTGGATGTTTCAGTGAAGAACCCAAACAAGTTCGGATTCAGATACTATGATGGCAACGCCAAACTAAACTATGGAGGAGAGTTGATAGGGGAAGCTCCTCTACCCAATGGAGAGATAGCACCTGAGGAGACTAAGGGAGTGAACTTCACACTCACTGTTATGGCTGATCGTTTGCTCTCCAATTCTCAGGTTACCAGGGATGCTGCATCGGGTTCATTACCCCTTAACGCTGTGGTCTCAATGACTGGTGAAGTCTTATTAGGCTTCATCAGGTTCCATTTGGGTTCAACAGCCTCTTGTGATTTCACTGTCATGCTTTCCAACAACACTGTTGTGGTCAATGAGTGCCTATACAAGACTAAGATTTGATTTTCAATAGCATCATAGCATGGAGTTTCAGAAATTATTAGATAGTCCTGAACTTTGTGGATTTTGATTAATCTCTACATGACAAGTAATCAATTGTAATTAATTTTTTCTTGTGAGTTGAAAATTTTAAATACATGTCATGTAGAAATTGATTAAGATCATAAATATACGATGATTCAAGGTCACTTAATAATTTCTTGTCTCAGAAAAAGAGAAAAGATTCAAAGAAAAACTGAGTCTATTATGTATTCTTTCAAAATCATTTCTTAGTAAATATATGAAAGTTCTCCCGATTTGGAGAATTTTAAACATGTTAATTAACCTCTCATGTGAATCATCTTCCATTACCCTTCATTTTCTTTTCAACCATTTCCCTCAACTTCCAAGTATGAGTTGGAGTGTGTATTTTACATAAGAGGAGGGTGATCTAGCTGTGCCAGAATTTAGCAATTTTACATAGATTAAATTTAATCGATATAAAAAGTTAATTTTACTCTATATACAATGTCAACTCTTACTAATGTAGAATTTCTTTTCTGTATTAGTGTTATCAGCTAATTTCATTTCCTGCAATGGAATGCTAGATAGAAATAAAAGAACTAGACCAGAGTGAAAAGATGAGATAAATAAATAAATGAAAAATATAGGTGAAATGATATTTTTAACCCTTCTATTTTTATCAATTCACAATTTTGATCTCTTTATTTTAAAATAGAGATATTTGATCTCTCTAAATTTAAAAATGAGAAATATTAATAATACACTCTTTAAAAAACTTTTTTATTAATTAAAATGTATTAAAAAATATAAAATTTGGTATGTATTATGCTTTATTATTTAATAACTCTTTTAATAAGTATTAAGTTTTAATATTTATAGATACTTAAGTGATGTAACATTTAGTAATATAATATTTAAAATTAAAAATATAAATAATATTTATTAATAAAATAAATATTACTTAGACTCATTAAAATATAAATAAATGAGAATATTTTGTATGTTATTTTTTAATTTTTATTTTTAAATATTACATTATTAAATAATAAGTTGCTTACGTGGTGATAAGTTATTAAAAAACATTAATATTCAATAATTAATTAACATAACTTATTGAAAAACATTAACATTCAATAATTAATTAACATAAAATTAATGATAAGACATTTTAAAAATATGAAAACTAAATATTTTTATTTTAAAATAAAAGAATCAAAATTACAAATTTATAAAAATAGAGAAACTGAACCTACAATTTATTTATAAAAAAAAAAAAAAAGAAAAAAAAAGTGGATCATAAAGTTGAAACAAGAGTATTTGTTTTAAGAAAAATAAATAAGATTTTTAAAAAAAGAGAAACAGAAATAATAATAAAAAATATAATCAATTAATAGGAAAAAAACTAATCTTTATGTTCAATGATAATATGTTATGTGCAATATGCAATTGATTATATTTGTTATACTTTCGAGTTTCCACACAGTTTAGTGAGGAAAATAAAACACGTGGACAGACTCTTATTCCACCAACCAGAGCATTAATTCACTTACCTTGAAAACTATACATTGAAATTGGAGACCAGAGTATACGGTCACACTTTCAATAAATATTTTTTTTATTAAAATACTTGTATAATTTTTCATATTTTACTTTTTAATCTTTATAATTTAAAATAATTTTTTAATTCTTATATTTATTTTTTTAATCTTTTTTAGTTTATGTAGTTTAACATAAATTTTTTTAATCTCTATACACTTGCAATTTTTTAATTTTTTTTGGTCTCTATCGTTATTTTTTTTAAGTTTGACTTTTTTTAGAGATGCGACAGAGATATTAATTTAATTTTTTTTGGATCTTATGTCAAATTTATTTTATTAAAATTACACTAAATTAAGTTTTTTGACGTTTTGTATCTCTTTTACACTCTCACTCATGAAACCTATGATTGAAATACTTTTTATTTTCATAAAATTAAAAATCTCTATCATGCCAATATAAAACAAACAACATTATAAGAAAAAAAAATTAGCAATAAGGACTAAAAAATTGCAAGTATAAGAACTAAAATAATTTATCTTAAATTATAAAGACTAAAAGGATTAAAAAAGATATATATAAAAATTAAAAATGTCTATTTTAAATTATAGGGACTAAAAGATAAAATAAATAAAATTAAAAAGAAAAAAATTAACCATATTTTCTAACTTTTTAACTAACGTCTTAAATCATTATGAACTAACAAGTTTTTGGTCCAAGTGTTACTAAACTCAATCTTCTTATATAAGGTTTCATGTTTGAGTCATGTATATAGAAAAAAGTTCTTCGAGATGAGAGACACTACTAAAAGTATCGGTGAGATTTCCCGATAAAGATTAATTATTATTTTTTTATTTTAAATATTTGTTTTCACTATTTAATAAAAAAATTTGCACATCATTTTCTATTTTGAAAAATTTATACAAGAAACGGTGTTTCGTGTACAAATATTTGAAAACAATAAATTGAAACTTTTATAATTAAAAAGTAAATACTACTAAATAGAGAAAAGGAATACATTGGAGTCTTGATTAGTTGATTTAACCAAGTCTTGAAATTATTTATGAATTGAATTTATTTTTGTCCAAACACACTTAATAGTCCCATTTTAAAAGAGTACCTGGTTGACAGTTGAGACACGGCATGGCATGCCGACCATTAAGTAGAGTGTGCAACTCTACATACTATACTAATCAATACAACACATTAAATCGATTGGACCCCCACAACAGCCAACTACCCTTATGATAATCACATTATTAATATGGTTGGCAGCTCCTATTTAGCCCATTCATAGCCACCAAATCTCATTTCAAAGATCTAATTAATCACCACAACACACTTGCCCTTCTAGTTCCCTTGAGCCAACGATAATGTCTGAATCAGCACAAAAACAAGAGACCATGAAGCTGAAGGATGATCAGGAGCAAGTGGTGGTGATTTCACAGAAAAAACTCAGGACGAGAAGATTGTGCAAGATAGTCACAGGAGCAGTGCTGTTACACCTCATTGTGTTGCTCATAGTTGCAATCATCCTTGCCTTTACCTTGTTCAAGTCCAAGGATCCAAAGACCACCATTGTGTCAGCCAGTTTGGAGGGTATAGCACCTCGTGTCACACTTCCTGCAGTTGACATACAACTCAACATCACCCTTGATATCAAGATTCTGGTGGAGAACAAAAACCGTGTTAGCTTCAAACATGGAGTGGGGACTAGTCTCTTGATGTACCGAGGGAAACAAGTTGGAGATACTGACATAAAGCCTGGTTTGATTCCTTCAAGAGGTTCTGAAACACTCTCATGCAGACTCACCCTTGAGGCTGACAACCAAGGGCTAGCATCCAGCGTGGGTGATTTGGTTGGGGATTTGATGAAAGGAGAGCTTTCTCTGGACACAGTTACTAGGATTCCTGGGAGAGTTACCTTCCTTGGAATTATCAAGAAACATATTATTGCTAAGTCCAATTGCCAATTCAATGTCAGTATTTCTGCCTTGAAGATCACTAGCCAAGTTTGCAAGACCAAGGCCACGTTATGAATCATATACGAAGCAGATTTTTGTGTCATATATATACGGTCATGTTCATAGTTCATACTCTAGTTTCTCATGAGGGGTTTCTGAGACATGAATAATGATGTTGCATACTTGCATGCAGCACGCTTCTACATGTTAATTTTTTCATCTTTAGTATTACATGTATGCTTGTCTATTAGTCATTAGACGTTGGTTCCAGTTTTGTAAATATGAGAACACTATTTCCGGTAGAACTATTTATATGTTGTGCTAACTGACTTTGTCCTTTGAAATTTGTGATGCGATGCCGTGCAAAATCCCAAGATTCTCTTCACTGGAATTTTGATTCTTCATGCCATTCTATTATAAAACAATTAAAATTTCCCTAACCAGGTCAAACTTGGCTTCAATCTTCCTGTAACAACAATATTTTGATTAACTCAGTACTGAGTGGTCCTCAAGCGAAAGACATGTTGAAGTCTAAGAATTGTTTTTATAACTTCAGCAGAGACTGAAAATAATAGTTTCATTTTCAATTTTAGAAAGTTTTATTTCAATTATAGCCATATGATATGAAATTTCAGTCATGATTAAAAACTTGTACTATTATTCTCACGCGCCAAAGGTTTGTCTTTAGCAAGTAGGAGTTATTCGACACACAACGAGAATCACCATCAAGTTAAAAGTCAGAGGCAAACATTTACAGAGTATCTTCAATTTGTAAAGTCTGAACACAAACTAAGGGCTCTGAACAAAGGTAAAGAAATCATCTCAAATGGGTCCATATGGTATTTGGTTTTATCATTGCTCTTCCAATGGTCTTCTATTATCTTTTATTTGATGTTCTGTGTCTAGTGCTCTCAACTACACAATGAATCAGAACACTGTTTGGATTCTCTCCGTTTAGTTTTGACGATATAAAGGTTATTAAATGTTAATTATGAAAGTATTAATGTCCTTTATACACTTAAAAATTTTAATAATGGCATTAAAATTCTAAATTTTGTATATTTTGAAAACAAATTATTATGTGTTATTCTAACTCAATCTAATATTTTATATTTTCTTAAAAAATATAATTCTTTTAAAAAATTTGTATTATTAATATAATTTGAAGTAAATTACACTCACACTTCCTGTATTTTTTAAGATTGTACCTAATATTTTCCTGTTATTTGAATTTATAGTGAGATTTTTTAAAAGTTAAAAAAATGTTACACTGTCCTTCAACCCACGAATAATTTCAAATTTGTTAATATATTTATGTCATGTGACTTGTATATAAATTTTAATATTTTTCCCCCAAAGTGCTCCTTTTTAATGGTGGAGATGAGGGACATTTTTGAGAAAAAAAAATTATTAAAAATATGTGTAGGTCTATGGGTCAGGAAAAAAGTGTTAACATTTTATTTTTTAAAAGACTCATTGTAGCTGTAGGTTTAAATAAATGGAGGAGTGGTACAATTTCCAAAAATCACATGGAGTGAGAATGCAATTTATTCTATAACTTATTAATTTATCAAGTATTATTTTGACTAATAAGATAAAATATTTATATCGATATTTTTTATGCTAGAATATGTATTATATATATTGTAAAATAAATCTTAATTATTGGTATATGTTTATTTAATTATATTACTTTAACTATATAATGTTACATATGTTGCGACAATAAAATACGAATTCTGTTGCAAATATTATTGAGTCTTCGTCCAGTTAAAATCAAATTCAAGTTCACAAAATTAATCCGATGGAAATTTTGAGGAGGGAAATGGACCGGTAAAGCCATTCAGTTAACCCTACCTACCTCTACATTCGAATTAAACAAGAAAGTAAGAACTGAAGACCCGTAAAGTGAAACAATTTTGTATTTGCATGCCTTTAATGCATAATAGAAGAAAATTGGAGCAAATTTTCTTTACCAGTATACAAGATTATGTTTTGTATTCTGTTAGCGGAGATTATTCGTAGGGATGATTTGCTGAGTAAGATCAGCAAGTCTCCTTCACTGGGTACGCTTGTTGTTTTAAGGTGGGGTAGTCCTTGCAAAAGAGACTCCGATGCTAAAGTTAGTGTTTGTGGAAGTACGAGTCTCGTATAAATAATACACGTACCTTAGTGTGAATTAGGGTTTATCTGAACCTTGGACTCGATATCAGTTATGACTTAATTAAATAGTGGGCCGATATTATCTAGTATGTGTCCGAAGTCATTCCACCATGTGATGTCGAGCTCGAGCTCGGCATAACATTACGGATAGTAAATATAAAAATAAAAAAAATATATAAAAAAAACCCACCGAGTATAAGGTTTAGAACTCGACTTTTCACCTTAAATTTAATTTTTTGGAGAACATCTACCTATTACTCGGACCCACCACTATAGCGATTTTTAAATTTAAATATTCTTCATATTTATTTAGTTATATTTTTTGGGCTTGTATTTAGTGAGGATCTAGAACACGTTGTTGATTCGTAGATGTATGTCTGACATGAATCTACTTTTCTTTCAACTAGGAAGCCACCCATATGTGTAAATGACACAAGTGGCAATTCAACGTTGGCATATGAATTCAATAAATTGAGATGAATAGGTTGACTTGACCAACAACAAGAAGTGGAGAAGGCGAATTAAAGTGAAAGAGGCATTTTTGGTTTAATGTGTATTAGGGGTGAGCATTAAACCGACATCCGAACCGAACCCGAAAAACCCGAAAAAAAAATATTGTTTTTGGGTGGGTTCGGGCGGGTCTTATGGGTAAATCGGGTTAAAATTTTGATTTTATACGGGTTATATTGGGCGGGTTCGGTTTTGAATTTTTAAACCCGCTAAAAACCGAACCCAACCGAAAATGAGATAAGTTTAAATTTTTATTATTTTTGTATAACTAAACAACAATGGTCCAAATTTAAAAGTCTTTATTTCAAGTATAATATAGCCATCGATTTGTAACTTATTTTTTTCCTTTTTCTCATAACTTAGATATTTATTTTGTCTTCTCCTTCCTCATTCAACTTCTCAACACTTTGTCTTTCTTTTCCATCTTCTTATCTCCATTTTGAGTACATTTTGTGTGAGTGTGATTTCTTATGGTTTTGTAATTACATTTTGTGTGACTGTGATTTCTTATGGTTTTGTAATCTAACTTTATATTTCTTTTCCATGTAACAACTATGAATTTTGTTATCTTTTATTTTTGCTTCTTTAGTTTGTAAATGTTTCAACTACGAATCTATTTACACCATCTATTGTCACCTTCATTCTATTTTTATACACTATTTTAAAAATATTTTTTATCGTTTTAAGCTTCATCTTCGTTAAGATAAATTGGTCTACAAAAAAATTCAAACCCGATTATACCCACCCGCTTAAATCCGAATCCGTTTCAACCCGAACCGCCTCAAATCGAAAGCTCAGTCGGTCAGATATGGGTCACATTTTTTCAAAGTCAGTTTACAACGGGTTGGACATTTTTCACCCGAACCCGACCAAACCCACCCGTTGCTCACCCCTATGTGTATAGTATTTAGTTTAATAAATAATTTAGAGACGTGAATTAAGGTTGAGATTAGGAATTAACTAAATATATGAGATGGATGAATATTTAAAAAAGATAATTAGAAAGTTGAATAAATAAGGTATGGAGGAGGAGGAATGGAGAAAGAGTGGTTGAGAGACGCAGTCCCCTTTGGCGGGCCAAGGAAGACGCATGGTGTGATATAATATAGCAGAAAAGAGAGAAGGGAAGAAAAATAGTAAGGATAATGGGAGAGGATAAGCTGGCCCTGACAACCCCGTCGCCGTCGTTCCGGCTGCGGTGCCGGAGCCTGAACTCCCTCCGCCTCCGGCGAATCTTCGACATGTTCGACAAGAACGGCGACGCCATGATAACGGTGACGGAGATCAGCCAGGCGCTGAGCCTGCTGGGCCTGGAGGCGGACGTGGAGGAGCTGGCCTCCATGACGCAGTCCTACATCAGGCCCGGCAACGAGGGCCTCACCTACGATGACTTCGTGGCCCTTCACGAGTCCCTCGGCGACACCTACTTCGGGCTTATCCAGGACCAGGAGGAGGCCCAACACGAGTCCGACCTCTGGGAGGCCTTCAAGGTCTTCGACGAGGACGGCGACGGCTACATCTCCGCCAAGGAGCTCCAGGTCGTTCTCGCCAAGCTCGGACTCGTCGAGGCCAACCTCATGGATAATGTTCACCGCATGATTGGTTCCGTCGACACCAACAACGACGGTCGCGTCGATTTCTACGAGTTTAAGGAAATGATGCGCGCCACCATTGCCCCCTCCTCTTCCTCTTGACTTCTTTCTCTCTCTTTTTTTTCTTTTTTCAAACTATTCGCCGCGTCTTCTTGCTTCTGTCATTGTCATTTCTTTCACCTTTACTTGTAACTTTAGTCATACATTCTTCTTGCTTGCTAAACATTTGCTTCTTTTGATTAATTAGTTTCTATAATTTCAAAAAAATTCTTGTTTCAATCTCTATCATCAAATTTTGTTAATGATGAATTATCACAAAAACATCACGATTCACGATAACATTTTTATTTGTTGTTGTGATGGGATCACAAGGTCAGTGGTAATAATAATAAGGGATTAGTTGGGTGGATTAGTTTATCATTTTAATTCAACCTGACAGTGGTAGAAGCACGTCTCACGATCCATGGCTGCCATAACCCAAAATTCCCATAATTAATAATAACCAGATGCATAGTTTTTATATTCAATGGACCATGCTGATTCGAGTTTGAATTGTTCCCAGCCATGGTTCCTACACCGAATCAAGCCACCTTTTAAAAATAACCAATTACAAAAATATTAATTTTATATTCTAACCTTTTATAACTATGAGGTGCAAATTAAGGATGAATATAGTTGTTGTGGAGGAAGTACAAATGCAAAAAAATAAAAATACAAAATCCATATGCTACTAATTTTAAACTTGCACGGATAGTTCTTCTAATTAAAAAATTTCTATTTATTAACATATCATCTAAATATTATAAATAGAAGAAAGATTAATTTCATTATATCTTTAATCAATTAAAATATTTTTTTAGTTTTTATAATTTTACTTATTTTATATTTTAGTTTTTATAATTTAAAATTAATTTTTTAATTTTTATATTTATATTTTTAAATATTTTTTCCATATAGTTGAAGACAAATATTTTTAGTTTCTATAAGTTTTTCAATTCTTTTAGTTCATGTCGTTAATTTTTTTTTTTTTTTTAACATTATATGTTTTAGCTTTCATCAATTCTTTTGTTGTTTTCATAAATGGTAACACCACACTTTTCCTCGAATATACCTATTTTTATGTTTCTATTTTTACAATACAGTGGGAACCGTGTATAGGATAAGTGAACTTATTTTTATGTGATGAAAGCTACTGTATTGGGATTGAATGAAGATGTTCTTCACCTATCCATTCCAGTGGCCATTGATGGCACCTTATCCAGTTGAATAAAAGCCTTCTGATCATAAAGAAGAAAAAAAAGTAATGTAAATGAACTATACCTACCTTGAGAGTTGAGATGGCTAGTTAGTAGTTACTGATTCCATAATGGTTCTAATGACATTAAGAGCATGTTTGGATTAGCTTTTGAAACATGATTCTACATTCTTTCTCCACGTTAGGTATCAATTTTACGTAGAAGCAAAAATTTTTTGCTTCAAGCAAACGTGAAAATTCACGTTAGAGTTAAAAACCAAACATGTACTAATTCGTTATGGATTTTGATCTTCTGCATATGAACATTGTCAGACACGCTTCATTCCCATTCGTTATCTATGATTTTTTTATTTTTATTTTTTAAATTCTGTTCTAGCAACAATATCTAGAAGAGATATTGTTACTATAAATTTATACAACAAACAAGAATGAGTATTTTGAACCATAATTTTTTTTTTTAAGTATTTGGTAGAGAGGAAATAAATATATAGAAGAGAAGGAAAGTAAGTAAGAAATAAAGTTGAAGTTGAAATTGTTTGGTAGGATAAAAGTAGGAAAAAGAAAAGTAGAAGGGAGATAATTTTGTAATTAAATTAACAAATATTAACTTAGTAAATATTTTTATTTTATTTATTATAATTATATTGATTATTTATATTTAAATTATTTATCTTACAAAATAAATATCTATATATTAAATGTTACTCCATAAACAAATTATTTATCTCTAAAATAAAAAAATAAAAATAAAAATTACATGAATAGTAACTTCTCTTCCTATCCTCTCAATTTTGGATGAAAGTTTTGGGATATAGGACTTACAACTTATGATTTTCTATCACTTGTATACAGGATAAAATATATATATTATATGCATTTTTAATTTTTTTAATGCATTTAATTTGTATGTACTATCATAATTATATAATTTTTAACATAATTATTACAAAAATAAATAATTTATTATTATTTTTATCTATAAAAATCAAATTTGGAATCAAAAGAATTTATAGTACTCACACACCTTATTCAATTTGGTGAAATTACTACACTCCATTGATACATACACACACACACACACATATATATATATATATATATATATATATATATATATATCAATTTATGATTAGAGAATAAATACAAAAAATATTTATATTTTTAATGTATTTTGATCATTTTAAAAAAATATTAAATAAAATTTCAATTTTGTTGGGAACAAAAAATTTTCTTTTCTTTTACGCACAATAATGATTATGAGAAACATGTTAAAATAACACCATAAAAAAAATAAGAAAAGATCACACAAATTTATTTAACGTGGTTTAGTCCTTCATACCTACGCCCACAAGGATGTCCATTATTTATCTCAAAATGTATTACATATATCTGAAAATCCTCCCTTCAAGTTTTGTGGGTTAAACTTATTGAAAACTCATTTCTCACAAGTTTTATGGGTGAAACTTGGAAACTCCTTCCTCACAAGTTTCAAAAAACTTGAAAATCATCATTCACAAAACTTGGAAACCCTCATTTATATGACATCCTCTCTCATTTAAGGCGGTGACCCCCTCTACAGGTCGGGATGGTTCTTCTCATCTCAAGAGTCTCTATTTATTGATCTTACATCACTATTTAAAAAAAAAAATATATAAAATAAATACAATATATTTTAATTCTAAACAATATCCTAAAAGAATCAATATCTTTTAAAATTTAAATAATATCTTAGAGATTTGAAAATTTTGAATTGTTTTCCCAACAAATTTTCATTTCAATAAATATATTTTTTAACTTATTACCTTAATTAATGTACCATCATTGTTTCTCTCTTTCTAATATATATAACTTAATACCTTGATTTCATGATTTTCTAAGATTATCTTTTGAGTTAGAATAATTGCTTGTTGTTGTGGGTATAGGTTGATGAACCATCATTTTGTGTGACTTATAGGAAGAGTGGTATGTGAAACTATGTTATTTAGATTAAGTTATTGCAGTAACAGACTAACTTCATCTGATTTTCTCTTAATTAATGTGACACAAATCTGAGGAACTGAGGGTACTAGGAGAATTGTTAACAGAATGTAATATCTAAGACTCTTATGTTGTATTATTCCTTGTGATTTATCAATCATTGTATGTCTGAATTGATTAATTAATTGAATTATGACGATTGTATTGCAATTAAATAGTAAAAGTGTAGAATAATCAAACCATATATTGATATATACACGACCAACCTTCAATTTTTGTTTCTAATTAAATTAATTAATTATTCATCTCATTCGTTCTTCATGTCTGTTAGGTTTCTAATTTCTTAAATGATCAAATTGGAAGTCAACCTAGAATAGAGTTCCATAATTCATGACAAATGATTACTAGTATAATTTGTAAGATAATATTGAAAATTGTTGAAATAACACAAGTTTTAATTGAAATTGAACGCATAAAAAGATTAAGAGAACAAAGAAATCGCAATCCTAATCTATTCACTATTACATTTTTATTTTATTCGTGAGAGAGTTTGATTTATAATATTTTTGTACTTATTAAAATTTGTCCCAGTAGTGATTATAACTGGCTCCAAGATTTAACGTGACTGCATACATAAGGCAGGATTTAAACCCATGACCTTGTTTAAAAGTGGATCAACTCCTACTACTGAATCACACGCTTGAAATTAGCAAGTAACTCTTTGAATTTGACATATAGCTAGATTACAATTTGTACAAGATACGTTTTCTTTTTTATGTATGTTATACACGTGTCATGTCAGTAAGAAAATTCTTTATTAGCATAAAAACATTCAATTATAATTATTATATTAAAATTAATTATTCAAATTATGTATTTAATTATAAATTTAATGTGATTTTATTCTATTTTTTAATGTTTATAATAACGTCCTTGCATTAGATTGTAATATTATTTTAAAATAATTAACGAAGATTATTATAATATTTAAGATTATTAAAGTAATGTTTTTAAAACAATAAAAGGAAGGTTATTATATGGTAGAAAAAGTAAGGAATATTTGTATGTTTTCATGAAATTTCAAGAAGTGTTTAATGCATCCTAATATATTTTGTTTTTTGTTTGAATCGCCTAGTGACTTCAAACTATTTTTTATTTTTTCGACTTGTTAAGAAGTTGGATCCTCCAAACTCCACTTCTTAATATATATTTTTTGTTTTTTAATTTTTAGTTTTATATAATTATTCTATGAGTTAATTACTGCAAATTATAATTTAAATAAAATTACAATATATAATGATTTATTTAAAGTAGTAATTCACTACTAATTAACTCATAGAATAATTATAAATTATTTTTTAAATAAAATAATTTATAAATTTAGTTTTTTAAATTTAGAAAATATAAAATAGAAACAATAAAAACCCACAGAGAAAACAAGTTAAGGACCCGATTTGTTGGAAAAAAAAATATATTAAAAAAGGTGATTTGGACGTAAGGTTGGTGGGGAATTTCAGAGCAAAAAAGAAAATTATTTCGTGATAAATAATGGTTGAGGGTGTTATTTTGGCAAATATTTATGTATAGAAATTAAAAATTCCCAAAATTGTTCTAATAATATTTTTATCATTTAAATAAAAAACATTAATTATATACTTTTTGTTTTTTGATATACTAAATGTTTTTACATTTAATATTATCTACTCAGCAATTTGTGAAAATCAAATTAAATAGGCTAGCCGTTGGTTTACATTTATTATTTTGAGATTTTTAAGACTTAACTATGTTTTTAGTCTCTTAAATTTAGAATAAATTTATTTTTGATTTCTCAAATTTAAATTTTTTTTAAATACTTGCAATTTTTAAAAATTTTGTTTTAACCTTTCAATTCATTAATAACATATCTAAAAGTAATAAACGAAGACAATTATGTAACATCAATTTGGTTTAATATGATATTTTTACTAATAGAGACATCAATAAGTCAATTTTATACGATAATATTTAACATATTCTTTTATAAAATTTGACTATAACCATTAAACTCAGGTTACCAGTAGTATCTAAAAGTGATTAATTGAGACAATTATGCAATATCAGTTAGATTTAGTGTGAAGTTTTCAGTAATTAACATGGACACCAATAGATAGATTTTATGCAATAATATTATATAAATAATCTAATAAAATTTAAGTATAATTACTAAAACAAGTTTTTTTTTAAATTACTGACTTAAAAATAACAATTTTAAATTTGAGAGATCAAGAATAATCTTAGAGATTAAAAATATATTTAAGTCTTATTTTAAATATGATAAATATTAGAGACAATACCTTCTTCTAACACTTCTTTCTTATCAACTAAAATTTATTAAAAATCACAAATTTTGAATTAAATGAGTCTATTGCAATTTAGTAGTTAATCAGAATTTATAATTTTTAATAAATTTTATTCAATAATATAAAATATTAGTAAAAAAATATTAAAAAAAGCCTCACTTACCTTTTTCTTTAAAACATTATATAGTACAACCACACATTTAAGTGGTTAAATTAACTTTTCCATGATTAAAAAGTTTTGTTAGTTCAAATCTTGTTTGGTTTTTATAATATCGATGTACCATAAATGCTAGTAACCCATTTTCTTAATACATTTCTTAAATACAATTTTTCTTATTAGTTAAATTAGTTATTGAAAATCATATAATTCCGTAGGTATCACATTTTATTTAATAATATTGTCATCTAATTTCATGTTTTTAATAAATTAAAATAGAAGAAAGAGCCTGCATTACTTCTATATGCATTGGATTTACTATAAACTTTTATTTGTTTGCTGATACAGACATGTAAAATGTTCCTATTGGATAGCCATGTCAACTCAATTGTAGAAATAAAATATATACTTGGCCGTGTCACTCACTCATTGTCTTCCACTCAAGTAAAGTGACTAACCCAAAGAGAGAGTGAGGATGGAAGCAGAAGGGCAATGGCAGATTTCAGAGAAAGCTGTGAAAGAGATATGCTGTTCGGTGGTGTTCATAGCGGCATGGAGCATCATAACATTAGTATATGTGAAGCTGTGGCATAAGCCTCAAAGGATCAGATCAGTGCTTCAGAAACAAGGCATCAATGGACCAAAGCCTTCATTCCCCTTTGGCAACGTTGCTGAGATGCAAAAGTTACAGGCCAAACAAGATTCTCCCGTTTCTCTTGAAGCCTTAGATGATTGGACTTCTTCCCTCTTCCCATATTTCCACACATGGAGGCAACGCTACGGTACATGAATACCAATTACTCATTTCTGTTGTTGGGACTATCATCACAAAATAGATTATATATCACTTCACACTATCATCTAATTACAACCCATCATGCACAATAAGTTTTTGAACTAAGTTTATTGATTTTGGAACTCGGAAGTCCACATGGTGTTCTCAGAATCAATTTCTTTGTTAAAATAATGTTAATGTTAGATGCGTAGAAATCCCATCCTCAAAACACAAATTAGTCACGTCTCACAAAGATAGATTAATCTTTGATAGTTAACTTTACAATATTGTGGATCATATTTATAAATAAATAAAATGAATATCAATAGTGATATCTGATTGAGTTTAATATCTATATGCCATTATAAAAAACTTTCACACGAGTTGATTGCAATTATCATGCATAGTATCTGTTATGTGTATCAATACTTTGATTGTTGAAACTTGTTACTTTGATGATCAGGTCCTTTGTTCATGTACTCCACTGGAACCAAACAGCATCTATATGTGGAGATACCAGAGTTAATAAAATGGATAGGTCTGAACAAGTCCTTGGAACTAGGCCGGCCATCGTATCTAACTAAAACATTGAAGCCTTTGCTGGGAAACGGCATCCTTAGGTCTAATGGACTAAACTGGGCCTTTCAAAGGAATCTACTTGCTCCTGAGTTTTTCCAGAGCAAAATTAAGGTTAGTATTTTTAAAAAGAAAATTAAGGTTAGTAGCATATCTCATATTTGAAAATAGGTTCATTTTATATATATGTGTGTGAGTAATTTGTATTTTTAACTTTTTTTATATTATTCTCTTAACAGATGCTAAATAGATCCTACTTGTTTATTATTTATGAAAAAAATGGATTAAAAAATTGAACATGACTTTGTTTAGAATTTGGCATGAAAGGGGTCTGTCTATTCTTCTGTCATCCTAATGAATTAATACACATATATTATTTAATATTTTTTATTGAACAATTTTCTTGCCAGATTTTTAATTGGATTGAAAGTTTCTGTTGGTAGAGGTGATACTTTTAAACTGTTATATTAAAAGTCCCTTTTGTACATATAGATGTATAATATTGTATTTGTTTTGGTTCTGGGTTAATTTAACATGTAGAATTGGGTGGATATAATGGAAGAATCTACCATGGAGATTATCCAAAAATGGGAGAGCCTTATAACCGAAAGTGAAGGGGGTGTTGCAGAGTTGGTTATTGATGGAGATATGAAGGCTCTTACAGCGAATATCATTTCCAAAGCTTGTTTTGGTAGCACTTACGCTCAAGGCAATTTAATTTTTGCAAAATTGGCCAAAATGCAAAATGCACTAGCAAAGCCTAGTATTCTATTTGGATTTCTAAACCTAAGGTTATATATCCTTGTTAAACTTTGCCAAACCTATACAAAACTAATCCGTGGATTATACTTGTTGGTGTTGTTTTATGATTAGAATTGGAATTTTAGTTTGATAAAAGATTCTATTAAATGTCTAAATATATTATAATTAAAATCTTAATTTTGATCGGAGAACGACACCAATGATTCTAAATCCAAGTTTTTTCTTTCTTTTTCTAAGGCTTGACATAAATATTGTATAAATTAACCATGTCTAAATGAATGAGAGATATGATGCATTCCCAGGTTTCTTCCTACCAAGGAAAACAAAGAGATATGGAAGCTACAAAAAGAGGTGGAAACAATGATACTAAAAGTGATCAAAGACCGTGAATCAGAAAATCAGAAGAGTAACACACATGGGAATCAAAAGGACATGTTACAAGTAGTTCTAGAAGGTGCTGCCAATGCCACCAGTGACAGCAGTGGAAAGGGTATTTTCGAAGCAGGGTATAACTTAGAACAATTGATTCTAGATATCTGCAAAAACATGTACTTTGCAGGCTCTGAGAGCAGTGCTCTTGCAACTATTTGGACACTGCTGCTACTTGCCTTACATCCTGAGTGGCAACAACGCGTTAGATCTGAGATTATGGACACCTTTGGTACCATGTTGCCTCATTCCTTACATGACATGGACAAACTTCGAAACTTGAAAGCAGTTAGTACAACACCCCTTTTCCCAATATTATTATTCCATAATACTTTAGTCTTTAGTGCATGTTAAATGTGTTTGTCAGCAGAAATCATATCTCATGAGTACAGATTAGTCCTTAGTTATCAATTTTAAAACACAGTGAATCATATCCATGAAAAAGAAATGAGCAATGTTATTCTCTTCCACTCTATTGTTTATACCCTCTCTAGTATTGATTGCAAATTGCAAATTTTGATGAATCCTTTTAATCAATTAGAAGAGACTCATTAAATGAGATATAAGATTAATAAAATTTGTGATTTTCAATAAGTTTTCATCAATACAAAGTACTCCTGAAGTTCTGTTATGCATGAGACATGCATGTTGATTATATAGTAAAGTACAAAAGCACTTTCTAACATTTGTTGTACCAAATTCTCGATCCTAATGTGTGTTTGTGCAGCTAACAATGGTGATTCAAGAGAGTTTACGTCTGTATGGCCCCGCAGTTACAGCCGCAAGGGAAGTGATGTCTGAGATGAAATTAGGAGAACATGTGCTCCCCAAAGGCATCAACATGTGGCTATTCTTACCCTCATTGCACCGTGACCCTGATAACTGGGGGCCTGATGCTAAGGAGTTCAAGCCAGAAAGGTTTGCTGGTGGTGTTTCTGCAGCATGCAAGTATCCACAAGCTTATGCACCATTTGGCCTCGGGAGTCGAATTTGCTTAGGCCAAAACTTTGCCCTGCTCGAAATCAAGCAAGTGTTGTGCCTTCTTCTATCCAAGTTCTCCTTTGCTGTTTCACCAAACTATCGCCATTGCCCTGTGTATAGAATGTTGTTGATACCGAAATATGGAGTGAGCCTTCTTGTCAGCAAGGTTCACAAGAACGTGGCGTAGTTCAGGTTCTAAACTATGTGTTGTCCCAACATGTGACCAAGACCATAGCTAGTTTGGTTGGTGAAGCTATATGGCTATTGATTAATAAAAGGTTTTGAAAAATATTGTTTTGGTGCCTCATATTTATTTCTTTCTTTTCTTTCGGTTTGTTTTTTTAAATTTAAAAATGTTTACACTAATCTTTTAGAGTGTTCCTGTATTAAGGAGGTGACTATGAACTCTCGTAAAATGAAGGTGTTTTTCAATGTCATTTTAGACAAATAGTAAATAATAACATATATCATGTCCTTTCATAAGGTTACATAGGTAATTCTATCACTTTTATTTAGAGCTGTCAAAACAGGTAACCCGACTCGGCCCGGCCCGGCCCACCACGGGTTGAGCCTTTGGTGGGCCAACCCAACCCGACTCGTTTATTAGTGAGCTCAAAAAAATTGAACTTGG